CAATCCAACTCTTAAGAATTCACCTAAGTGAATTTTATGCTCACATAAAAACCTGTTCTTGAGTATCTGTAGCAGTTATATTGATAATCACTAAAAACTGAAGACAATTTAAATGTCTTTCAATGGGTAAATGGATAAATAAATTTTTGCCCACCTATGTCACATAATATATACAGAAGAGAGTTAACATAGGAGGCCTGAAGCTGCTGTCTTTAGAAGGACCTGCCTACAAGGTTGGCCCCGGCTGGTGTCTGGGAACTTGGCACTTGAACCATTTCCTACACTATGCCTACACTGTTTATATAAATAATGTGATTTATGCTAAACACTTGCTTTCCTTCTGGCAGTCTGTAACTTTGATATTTGTTAGGCAGAGAGTATCTACATGACTGCTACCCAGTAAAAACCTTGGGCTCTGAGTTGCTAATGCGCACCCCTGGAGAGAAACATCGCACATGTTACTGCAAGTTTTCACTGCTAGAGAATGAAGCACGCTTGGTGTGTCCCGTTACAGGAGGGAGAGCGCATGGGGGAGTCTGTATATGGATTTATCCAGATTCTACCTGTGTCTTTTACCCTTGCTCATCCTATCATGTATCCTTTCACTGTAATAAACCTTATCCATGAGACAACTATATGCTGAATCCCATGCGTACTAGTATCAATAGGTCTCTAAATGTGGGGGTGGTGTTGGGGCTCCCTGAAACAGAATACTATTCAGCAATAAAAAGAAACCATTGAGGGGCTTCCCTGGTGGCGCAGTGGTTGAGAATCCACCTGCCAGTGCAGGGGACATGGGTTCAATCCCTGGTACGGGAAGATCCCACATGCCGCGGAGCGGCTAAGCCCATGAGCCACAACTACTGAGCCTGCACTCTAGAGCCCACATGCCACAGCTACTGAAGCCCGTGTACCTAGAGCTCGTGCTCTGCAACAAGAGAAGCCACCACAATGAGAAGTCCTCGCACTGCAATGAAGAGTAGCCCTCGCTCACTGCAGCTAGGGCAAGCCCGCATGCAGCAACAAAGACCCAACGCAGCCAAAATTAATTAATTAACTTAAAAAAAAAGAAACTATTGATACATGCAACAACATGGATGAATCTCACATGTCTTGCCATGTGAAAGAAGCTAGACTCAAAAGGCTATATACAATATAATCTCATTTATGTGACATTCTGCAAAATGCAAAACCATAGCTACAGAAAACAGATCAGTGGTTGGTAGGAATTACAGGTGAGGGAAGAGTTTGACTACAAAGGGGTAGCATGAGGGAATTTCTTTTTTTCTTTTTTTTTTTTTTTTTCGGTCGGTGGGGAAACTGTTCCGTATCTTGGCTACAGTGGAGGTTACACCACTCTATGCATTTGTCAAAACTCATAGACTTTTACACAAAAAAGAGTAATGTTTACTGTAATGAATTTAAAAATAAATTCAACTGAAACAAAATCAATTGCCTTTCTATAACCAGCAACAAATAGAAAAATTAAATTAAAACATAATTTATAAGAGCACCAAAACTATAAAATATCGTAGAATAAATCTAATGAAAGACATATAAGACCTCTATGCTGAAAATCACAAAATATTATGGAGAGATTAGAGAAAACATAAACAAACAGATATACCATATTCATGGATTGAAATACTCCAATATTACAAAGACATTAACAATCAAATTGAAATCCCAGGACAATGTTTTAAATCTACAGGATGATTCTAAAATTATATGGAAATGTAAAGGGCTAAGAATAGCAAAACAGCTTAGCACACAAAGACTGAGTACTTACTCTGCTGTATGTCAATATTCATTATAAAGCTATAATAACTGGGTCTTTCCTGGTGGTCCAGTGGTAAGACTCCACATTCCCAATGCAGGGGGCCCGGGGAACTAGATCTCGCATGCGTGCCGCAACTAACAGTCCACATGCCACAACTAAGAGTCCACATGCTGCAACTAAGAAAGTCTGCACGCCACAATTAAAGATCCTGCATGCTACAACTAAGACCTTGTGCAGTCTAAATAAATATTTTTAAAAGTTTTTTTTTAAAAAGCTATAACAGGGCTTCCCTGGTGGCGCAGTGGTTGAGAGTCCACCTGCCGATGCAGGGGACACGGGTTCGTGCCCCGATCCGGGAAGATCCCACATGCCGCGGAGTGGCTGGGCCTGTGAGCCATGGCTGCTGAGCCTGTGCGTCCGGAGCCTGTGCTCCGCAACGGGAGAGGCCACAACAGTGAGAGGCCCGCGTACCACAAAAAAAAAAAAAAAAAAGCTATAACAACTAGACTGTTAGGTGTTGGTAAAAGTTTTAACAAATAGGGAACAAAATAGGGACTCCAGAAAAACGACCCTTGATTTAAACATATAGAGCCCCTTGATTCATGGCAGAGTTTGCACCAAAGAGCTGAGGGAAAATTACAATCGTCTCAATAGGTGATGCTGGATCAGTTCAGTATATACATGGGGGAAAATAAAACCTGGCCCCTACGTCATGTCATACACAGAAATCATTTGCAGGTGGAGGATGGATATAAATGCAAAAGTTAAAAGAAAAAACTAACAGAAGGCAACTTTGGAGAATACCATCATGTTGTCTGAGTACAGAAAGTTCTTAAATAGGTTACAAATAACTAATTACAAACAAAAAGACTGAAAACTGGACATTAAACTTAGCAACTTTTGTGCATCAATAGATACCACTGCCAGAGTAGAAGTGGGAGAATCATTTGCAACATGTATAACTGACAAAAGTCTTGTATCCACAATAAAGTACTCCAAAATATAAATCAAGAAAAGACAAACAACCTGTAGAAAAATGGACAAGAGGACTCAACAGGCACTTCGCTAAAGAGAATATCCAAAAACGTCAATGAACAATCGAAAAGGTGCTCAACCTCTGTAGTCACCAGGGCAATGCAAATTAAAAAACATTTCATCATTATAGAATGGCTGTAATTAAAACGATGGACAATATCAAGCACTGTGAGGATGTGGAGCAACTGGAATGCTCATGCACTGCTGGTGGGAGTGGAACTTGAAACCACCATTTGGAAAACGGAGTCTCACCAGAACTACAGGATCTAGCATAACATACACATACTCTATGACAGCAATTTCACATCCAGGCATATCCCAACCAGAAATAAGGACATATACAAAAACCAGCACAATTTGTCACTACCAAAATTGTAACCAACCCAAATATCCATCAACATTAGAATGCAAAAAATTTTTAGTTTAGTCTTACAATAGTTTATTACATAGCAGTGAAAATGAGCAGTGGTTCCGCCACACGCAGCAGCATGGATAAATCTCACATTGTAACCTTGAGCAAAAGAGGCCAGACATCAAAGAATACATACTGAATAGCTCTATTTAAATAGTTTAAAAATATATAAATCTATGATGTGAGAAATCATCCTGTTGGGAAGGAGGGTGGGATTATTGATAGGGAGGGGACAAAAGAGAATGTCTAAGGAGCAGATAGATAATGCTCTGTTTCTTGGGGCCTATAGGGTATATTCAATTTGTGATACACGTTGAGCTACATAAACTTAGGATTTGTTCATTTTCTATATTTTATAAAATTTTTAAGTTAAAACACAAGAGATATATATCTTATCATTTTTTTCAGTTTTCTAAAAACCTCATGAATCACATGATGTCACTTCCTGCCTTGCAGGTACAGAACGGCTTCCTCTATAACACTCACAAGGCTACCTGATCCAGCTCCTGCCTACCTTTCTGTCCTCAATTTGCATCCCTCTTCCCCCTTCCTCACAATGCTCCACACTGGTCTTCTCACTTTTCCTCACACATACCAAACTTGTTCTTATCTCAAGGTATTTGTACTTGTTCTGTCCTCTGCCTGATGATCCTTCCTGATCCTTCTTTGTGCCTATTTCTATTCCTTCAGCCCTCCATTAAAATATCTCTTCAGAACTGCTTCCCCGACTGTCTACCGAGTGTACCACATCCCACCCCACTTTCCAGTCACTCTCCATGCCTGGGGTCAGTCAGCATTTTCTACAAAAGGCCAGACAATAAAAACTCTAGTCTTTGCAGGCCAGGTGGTCTTGGTCACAATGACTCAAAATTTCCACCTTAGCAGGAAAGCAGCTACAGACAACATGTAAATGAGTGGGCATGGTTGTGCCCCATTGAAACATTACTTATGGATCCTGAATTTGAATTTCATATCATTTCACATGTCACGAAAAACCTGTCTTTTGATTTTCTTCCTCCCAAGCATTTAAACACGTAAAAAATGGGCTTCCCTGGTGGTGCAGTGGTTAAGAATCTGCCTGCCAATGCAGCGGACACAGGTCCGAGCCCTGGTCCGGGAAGATCCCGCATGCCACGGAGCAACTAAGCCCATGCGACACAACTACTGAGCCTGCGTTCTAGAGCCCACAAGCCACAACTACTGAGCCTGCGCTCTAAAGCCCGTGAGCCACAACTACTGAGCCTGCGCTCTAAAGCCCGTGAACCACGACTATTGAGCCCACGGGCCACAACTAATGAAGCCTGCGTGCCTAGAGCCCGTGCTCCGCAACAAGAGAAGCCACCACAATGAGAAGCCCGCTCACCACAATGAAGAGTAGCCCCGCTCGCAGCAACCAGAGAAAGCCCACGCACAGCAATGAAGACCCAATGCAGCCAAAAATAAATAAATTAATTAATTAATTAAAAAAAATAAAAACATAAAAACGACTTTTAGCTCACGCATAAAAAAGGCAGGCAGTGGGGCCAGATTTGGCCCCTGACCGCAATTTGCCAGCCTCGGCTCTAACCCATGTCCCTGGTCTGCCTTCTTCCCAGCCTTATCCCTAACTAAAATAGATCAGCTCTTCACATGTTTATCTTCTATCTTTCCCCACCCCTAAAATTTCAACTCCAAGAGGGAGGGGCCTCATCTGTTTTGTTCACCATCGCGTGTTTACTACCCATCTCAGCATCTGACACACAGAAGCAGGAAGAAATAAAGGCCCAAGCCCACCTGGGTGTGACCGTGGCCTTGGCCTGGACCTTGATGGGCTTCTTCCGAGTGGTGATCACAGGAGCCAACACAGGCTCCTCCTTCGAAGACTCTCCAATTGAGGATTCGGGTCGGGCTGACTGAGATCGTAATGAAAGGATTTCTCCTGAGTATAAACTCAGCTTGGTGGCGTGCTCAGGATAGGGCCCGGACCTTAATCTGGTCTGAATGATTTCTGCCTCTTCCTTTACCGGATATTCTACGGTGAACAAGCCTGTGAACAGAAGACACTGGTGTCACTCCCCGGCGTGGCCTGGCCGCCATGCCCTGCTGTGAGACTGCACAGCTCCCCCTCCAGGCCATTACTCTCGCAGTCTGCTGCCTCCCGTTGTCTGGCCCAGTGCTCCCACCCTAGTGCAGCTAGTGGATCAGTAAGTGCTAGCTGAATGGAAGAACAAATCAATCTCAGTTCTGGCCATCTGTCAAGACCCAGCTTTGATCCGTCCTCCCCCACGGGCCTGTGTTTCATTCAGCTTTGTGTCCTTTATAGCACTCAATGTAGAGGCTGGGTACACTATGCATCCATGTTGTTCCCTGTGCCTCCAGACTTAAGTCATTTCCATCTATGTTCTTTGTTGTATTTTTCTTTTGCTTTCTCTGCTAGACTGGCCAAGGGCCTCTCATTTCTTCATTCACTTACCAAACATTTACTAAATGTTGGGCACTGGTCATAAAGATGACCCCATACAGGAGTTCCCTGCCTCTGGGAACTCCAAGCAGGAGTGGGGGGGCGGGGATGGGAAAACAAAGAAATATTTATAACGCTAGGTAGTAAGATTTATAATTGTACTATATAGTCTCCTTACCTGCCGCCAGCAGGACGGAGTTCATGAACTGGGACACTGTCTTCTGAAACCGCCTCTTGATCTCTGCCAGGGCCCGACTCATCTCAGACATCTTTTCATCCATGCTGCTGATTCTGCGGGTCATCTGGGGAAAGGCCGAGGGGAAGGGCATTGTCACCTGCCCCGCCAGGAGCCGTCTGCCCAGCCCAGTGACCACAAGGCTAAGCCCTGGCTTAGAGGATGTGCCGCTCCTGCCTGGGACCCACCTCTCTCCCCTCAGCCCAGTGAATCCGCACACACTGACCCAACCCACCTCAAACGTCCCCCCCCAGGGAGGTTGGTTGCACTGGGCAGAACTGTTCCTTGCCTTGGACCCTCACCACTTTCTCTATGCAGCCTGAAGACAGAGGTTAGCCCTTTGTGAAGTGATCAGTTGCGTGGGAGCCTGTCTCCCCAGCAAGACTCTGAGCTCCTAGAGGACAAGGATCGGGTTTTGGTCTCCTTTGTGTCCAAGTGCCCATCGCACAGAAGGCACTCAATTAATGCTTGTTGCGCTATGAATAACTGGATGGACAAACGCCTCTCTGGACGTTTGCTGCCTGTCTCCCTCTATCGCACGACCCACAGAACGCTCTTCACCCTGCTGGCCGCTCTCTGCTGAGACACTGCCCTAGGCCAGGGTTACACAGATTGACTGGTTCCCATGGGCACCAAGGCCCAGGCCTCCGGCCTCAGTTCAGGATTACTCCGAAGGGCCACACTGGCTCCGGAGCTCCTATGGGACAGTGAGGCCGCCCTGCAGTTCAACCTCTGCCTCTGCCCGGGGCGGAACTAGTTCAGATTCTGGAGTTAATGGCAATCAGGGTGTGACATTTTCTTCAGGAAGGCGTTACAGACTTGCTAAGCTACCAGCAATCACTCCCCACATTGAGCTTGCACACCTGCTCATTCCTGTCCTTCTTGTCCTGGGTTCTGGTCACTTTTTACTTTCTTTATCCCTAAACTTCGTCAGCCCTGAAGGCAGGGTCCATGCAGTCTACATCTCCCACTTCACACAGAGGAGGTGTGAAATAATTTTTCCTCTGCAGAATTGAAGCCTCAGGTGGAGAGAGCAGGGTGAGTGGTGGACAGACTTTCTGAAGAGCGATAAAGTCAGCCATGTATCCCTCTTTGTCCTGTAGGCAGGGCTTCTGTAAACGATGCTCCAATTAATAGCAAAGCCTCAACCATCCTTCTGTTTGTTGGCCCCAACCTCCGCCTCTGGGCTAATTTTATTTATTTATTTATAATTTATACCCAGTCTTGCTTCCCAAAAGGATCTGAGGCAGCACTGGGCTAATAAAGCATTTAAATTGAGGCATTTCCTCGCTTCCAAAGCGCTGTCTTGATAGAAAATTTAGTGAGGAGCCTGGCCGCAGGGCTATAAAAGCTGGGACTGCCATTCTGCCTATCGCTCTGATGGGTGGTTCCTTCCAGGGTGATGGGTTTAACAAGTTTTCCACTGACAGGGAGTGTGAGGGAAGAGACCACCCTACTCCCACCCCTCAGCTTTCCTAGATGGCCACAGGTTTGCTGATGAGTGGGTGACAACCAGCTCCAAACATACACACACACACACACACACACACACACACACACACACACACACACACACACACGATTGCAGTTGAATGGATTTGTAAAGTCCCAGGAGAGAAGTGTGGGATAGCTGGGTGGGCCTTTACACATCACTATACAAATTGGGAAACTGAGGCCCAGCAAGGAAAGGGAAGGCCTGAGGCCACCTCCTAGCTGAGGCTCTCTGCCAGCCTTGAGATTTCACATAAAAATATTCCAAGATGCTTAACCTAGAAGCTAGGGTCAACATTTGGAAATCCTGTTACCCACAATAAGCCTTCATTTGTTGTTGTTTATCTAGTCAGAAGGTTGTAATATACAGTACACCACCCTGCTCTCTCAAACAGAAGAGGTTAAGACGAGGATGCTCTGGGGCAAGTCAGTCTCCTTGGTCAACATCAACAACTATCCTCTAGAATGCGGTGGTTTTCAGAAGCTGTTTTAATGTATTTGTCTGTTTATCCCTACGCTAGATGTCTCCAAGATGGTTATGCTTTTTGAGTTACAATGTTCTTTTTAATAGATAACTTCCAGCCTCCTTCCGCACTGTCAGCCTCTGCAAGCTTCCCTTAATGAGGACTCCACCTTTAGATCCCCACTGTTCACTAAAAATATAATGCGAGCTGCATGTGTGGCTTTGAACATTCCTGAAGCCACATTAAAAACATTCTCAGGCTTCCCTGGTGGCGCAGCGGTTCAGAGTCCGCCTGCCGATGCAGGGGACATGGGTTCATGCCCCGGTCCGGGAAGATCCCACATGCCGCGGAGCTGCTAGGCCCGTGAGCCACGGCTGCTGAGCCTGTGCGTCCGGAGCCTGTGCTCCGCAACGGGAGAGGCCACAACAGTGAGAGGCCCACGTACCGCAGAAAAAGAAAGAAACAAACAAACAAAAAAACATTCTCAGGGAACTTCCCTGGTGGCGCAGTGGTTAAGAATCCGCCTGTCAATGTAGGGGACACGGGTTTGAGCCCTGGTCTGGGAAGATCCCACATGTCGTGGAACAACCAAGCCCGTGCACAGCAACTACTGAGGCTGCACTGTAGAGCCCGTGAGCCACAACTACTGAGCCTGCACTCTAGAGTCCGTGAGCCACAGCTACTGAAGCCCGCGCACCTAGAGCCAGTGCTCCACAGCAAGGGAAGCCACTGCCATGAGAAGCCCGTGCACTGCAACAAAGTGTAGCCCCCGCTCACCACAACTAGAGAAAGCCTGAGCGCAGCAACAAAGCCCCAACGCAGTCAAAAATAAATAAATAGATAAAAACATTCTCAGAAGATGAAATTAATTCTAATAACATATTTATCTAACCCAATACATCAAAAATATGATTATTGCAACATGTAATCAAAATAAATGATCAATAAGAAATGCTACATTCTCTTTTCATACTAAGTCTTTGAAATGCAGCGTGTGCCTTCACTTCCAGCCCATCTCAGCCTGGAATTGTCACATTTCAAGTGCTCAATAGCCATTTGTGACTCCTGGCTACCATATTGGACAGCACAGCTCTGGACCTCTGATTCTAGCTCTCTAAGGCTGCATTTAGCTAAGAAAACATAAGATGTGAATGACTGAGGGGCTTTCCTAGGCCAAGAGGACATGTTCGGTACATGGAACTTAGAGTGATTTCTCTCAGCTGTTCATGGGGGCCTTCAACTGCTTACGTCCTGGTTCTTAGCCATGTTCCAAATTTCAGAGATTACCAGACAAGAGGTTGCCAGAAAAACAAAACATTACTGCAATTTTATGTGAACAAAAATTTTTCTATTATCTATTGCCTTTGGTAAGTAAATGCACATTTTTTAAAATACAAATTGACGGAATGGACTCATCAATCAGCAGTCATCTCAGCCCTGATGGACTCAAAATCCTGGCGTTGTTTTGCTCTTTGGCATGAGGAATGTAGGCTGAAGTCACTGGCGTCTGAGTTTCCTGGGTGCTCAATGAGATCCCTTTAACGAACCCACCAGCTCCCTCAGCGCCCCTCTCTCCCACACACCACACCAGTCAAGCTGGATCACAAACCTGTGTTGATGCTTTTGCCCCTTCCATTAGAGTGAAAGTATTTCAGAGACTAGAGGGAGTGAGGCTTCTTTCACTTCGACATCCCCAGCAGCCAATCCGGCACACGGCAGGTGCTAATACATGTTTTGGGGTGTTTTTTTTGCGGTACGCGGGCCTCTCGCTGTTGTGGCCTCTCCCGTTCCAGAGCCCAGGCTCTGGATGCGCAGCCTCAGCGGCCATGGCTCACGGGCCCAGCTGCTCCGCGGCATGTGGGATCTTCCCGGACCGGGGCATGAACCCATGTCCCCTGCATCGGCAGGCGGACGGACTCTCAACCACTGCGCCACCAGGGAAGCCCGCTAATACATGTTTATTGAATTAGCTAATCAACTAATGAAGTTGAAATGCTGCTGAAATGTAAGAGCAGTGAAAAAAACAGGTGCAACACTTCCCTCCAGGAAAAACACAGGTGTTCTCTGTGTCTTGTTTAGATAACATGGGTCTCCAACAAATGCCAGCCTCGCGTGTCCCCATGTAAAGGGGAGACGTGGGGCTGGCTGCTCCTATGGGCTCTGCCAGCCCTGCGAGCCTGTTGGCATGTAGTGGCAAATGCCCTCACAGTGCAAACGCCTCCTTCAGAGTGACTATAATTTATCAGCCAAACTGGGACACTTCTAAGAGTGAAAGGGATGCTACTAATAACTCCTGGGCTGATAGGCGTAAACTGGGACTGGCCCCAGGAAGACTGGGAGGTGTGGTCCCCCTGGCTCCCACTCCAAGGAGGCTTCTTGAGTGAGCCAATCCCCTGTGTGTAATGCCAGTGGTCAGTGCCACCAAGGAGCCCATGGCCACCCCAGTCTCATGGTGAATGTCAACTATTATCTTCCAGACTATAAACTCCTCAGGGATCAGGGACTTTGTCCCCTCATCCTCTCCATCTCTTTCCACAATGTTGACTCTGGACCAGGCACACGGTAGGATCCACAAAGACCCAGTGAATGAAGAACTGAGTTTCCAGACTCCAACATTGGCTCACCTACCCCCTTAGCAAGTGCTTCATTTGAAGCAGTCCCTGTGCTTCAGGGCAACAGTACCTGTAGGAATCACAGGGAATTCCCACTTTGGTAGAGAAGGCTGGCTTGTAAATAAAGCAGTGTTGGAATGGAGGTGAGTCACTGCTGGGAGGGCTGAGCAAGGGGACAGGCAGACTCTACCTGGGATGGGAAAGGGGGTGGTGGAGAGGGTCATCAATACATGGGCAGTTACTCTATCCGGCATCATATCTCCCTTTTCTGGTAACAGCACCGTGATTTTCCTTTATGGAACACACTCCTGCCTAATCGTTTGCCCGAGTGCTATACCTGGGGCTGATCACACCCCTCGGCTCGGGATGGACATGACTACTCGAGCCTGGCTAGTAAGAGCAACACACATACCTCACCACAGAGAACATTTCAGGTGCAGGAAGTAGATGGAGCCAATGATGTTGGTGTTGGCACCTCTACTGAAGTGCTTAGCAAAGAGAAGTCCTCTTTTTCCTGGGGAGACCAAAGCTGGTAGAACAATAAGCCTGGAGAGGCTCATGACCACCTTGTCACCATAATAAGAGAAACTCCTTGGAAATAGAGCCAACAAAGAGGAAGGCAGAGCCAAGAGATGGGAAGATCTGATGGAATCCTTTGAGGGCCTGGATCCAGCCATGCCTGATGCTGCCTATCTACAGACTGACTTTTCAGTTTACTGAGCCAATACAGTTTCTTTTTTTTTTGTGGTACGTGGGCCTCTCACTGTTGTGGCCTCTCCCATTGCAGAGCACAGGCTCTGGACGCGCAGGCTCAGCGGCCATGGCTCACAGGCCCAGCCGCTCCGCGGCACGTGGGATCTTCCCAGACCGCGGCACAAACCCGTGTCCCCTGCATCAGCAGGCAGACTCTCAACCACTGCGCCACCAGGGAAGCCCCTGAAAGACTCTTGATAGAAGTTTCACAGAGAAGGTGGTACTAAAGTCAGACAGTGAACGATGAGTACAAGTCCATTAGACAGGTAAAGAGGTGGGGCCTTGTATGGGTAGGGGAGGCAGGAAGAACAAAGGCATTCCAAAGTGACAATCCATGTTGAAACGCTCTGGGGTCAGGCCTGGGTGACTGGTCTGTGTGCCTTACCCGTTTATTGTGCGATGTCCCATGCGGACAGCTGTTGGCCGATATGGGGAGTGTTACTGTCTCATTCAGGGAGGTAAAGGTGGCCATGATAGAATCCTGTCCTAGCACCATCAGCTTCATTTGCTCATTCACCTGTGGATGAAGAAACCAGGACTCAGTGGATCCCTGCTTCTGTTGTCCCACCTACCCGTTCCTGACCGGGCAGGTGGGACAACAGAAAACCACAAAACACAAAACCCCTCTTGGCTTGGGCCTAAGAGAGCTGTAAGATTTTTCTGGTTATTATGCTAGAATCCTGTTTTCAGGGAGAACACATAAGAATTCCAATTTTTCTTTGAGGGATAAGCAGAAAAAATAATGATGGTTCTTTACCCCTGCCTTTCCCTTTCCAACCCAAACCTGTAACCAACTGTGAAGGAGACACAGGGATCCAACAGGCGAGTCAGCTTCCGCTCTGGTAGAGTTGGATAGGAGTCAGAAGCCAACACTGTCCCTGAATCTGATGCTGGGTCCACCCAGGCACCAGGTCTGACTAGGAAAGCACACAGAGCTACCTTGGCAGGGGGACCAGAACTCACCCCTCTGCAGGTGGGTGGGCAGATGGCAAAAGGGAACCTAGCCAGGGCCGTGCCACACATGCTCATTTCCCTCTCCTGCAGTCACCAAATGTGTCACCACTCGTCCCCTGAGGAGGGGCCACCCTTTTTCATCACTTCCAAAATGGTGGGATTTCCTAGGTAGCAGTCCCAGAGAAGAACACAGGGAGGGTGAGTTGCCCTTATAGCAACTCACTCCTCACTAAGAACTCTGTGGCCTGGAGTGAGTCCCAGGTCTGCCTCTGGTTAGCAAGCCACTGGACCTCCCTGAAGCTCCCAATCTTCAATATCAGAGTCAAAATGCTCGTGTTAGGTTCAAATAAGATAAAGATTATGGAAGTGGCTTTCTAAATCACAAAGGCCCACACCAAACACGAGCAGATATTGTCAGGATGTGGCAGAGCAACACGCACGTAAGGCCCTGGATGGTTCAGGTGTGCAGAGAGTTATGTATGCACAGTGGCCCCACCAGGGTCTGGGCGTCTGTAGCTCTACAGCCCCTGACCTACACGTGCCCCAGAACTCCTCGGAACTAAGAAAGTGCTCTCCATCTTCACTCCTTCCATTTCCTTCTAGGATTCCACTTGCTGGTCCAGAGGGCCACACTCAATTTCCTCACCATCCAGCCCAGCCCCTTCCTCATTCTCTGCAGCCTGGATGCTAGTCCCCTTCCACACTCTGAAAACATCTGATCCATGACCATCTTCCTGCCAAGTGTGTGACATCTTCAAACTTGTAGATCACTCTCACTTCAGAGAGACACCACCTGCTCCAGCTCTCCTTCTAGAGACTGTAGGACAGAGCTGGGAGCTGTGGCTGGGAGCTCAAGCACTGTGGTTGGACACTTGAGGCAGGTTGCTTAGCTTCTCTGAGCCGGGGGACAATAACAGAATCTTTCTCTGGGGCACCAAGCAGATTTCACAGATAAAATAAGCAAAGGGCTTAGCTTGGTAGAGCTGTTTTTAATTATCTTGGCCCCTGGGTGGTTTCTCTTCCTCTTCCCAATGTCCCAACGATGGTGCTCTGTGAATTCAGCCACTGCTCATCTTCCTGGGAGCTCGTGAGCCACATGTATATCACGTGCATATCATCCCCAATCTCTCGTTCTAGGTGAGGATCCCTGTCCAGAGAGAGATGTCCACTGAGCCCAATTAGCACATCAAAAACCATATGGGTCTCTGAGCCTCTCAGAAACTGCCTTGTTTCCACCCAGACACACACACTCCATGTGGAGTCATCTATAATTCCCTCCTCCTCTCATTTATCCCCTACAGCCCATTTCTGAATGCCACTGATTTATTTTACTGAAATGGCCCCTTTAAAAAATATTACTAATACCCTCCATCATGTCAAGTCTGGCTAGTAACTCCTTAACTAGTCTTTCTACTAGCCCCATCTGCTGATCTTTCCCTCTCCAGTCAACCTTCCACATAAATGCTGGATGGAGCATACCAGCCAGCCCTCAGCTTAAAAACTAACCAGCTGGTTATACTCCCACTACAGCTGAGTCAGGTCCTAACAGGCTGATCCTCCCACAGAACTTGGAAAAAATACAAAAAACAACTACCCAAAGGCTCAGAAGAGTAAGCAAAAGCAGGCAGATTTCGAAGAGTCAAAACTTAAAAGGATCAACATGGGATGAGTTCTTTCTGGCCCAAAGAACCAAAGGAGAAAACCTGGGGTCAACTACAGTCACAGAAAAGTAAGGAGAGAATTACAGAAGGGACAGAGAAGTAGAGTCCCAAATGCTATGATTAAACAGTCCACAGCTTTGGCTGATCCCTGAACCATGTGTGAGCAGTGAAAACTCGAGGCAGTTTACTTCCAGGGAAACAGAAGACTGAACTGAGATTTGAGCTGCTGCCCACTGCGGGTGAGACAAAGTTTGCATTATGAGTCTAAACAAGCCCATTGCCTGTTAAAACAAAAAAAATCAACACTCTTCAGAGAAATACATCAGAACTCAGAGACTCTAAAACATAACATCCACAATGTCAGCAATCCAGAATAACTCAACCTGTGAAGAGTCAGTGAAGTGTGAGCTGTTCTCAAGGCAACAAATAACCAATCCTGTCTGATATGTCCCAGATGTTGAAATTACCAGACAAGGCTTTATAGCAGCTAACTTAACTATGCTCAATGAGGCAAAGGAAAATATATTTGTAATGAAAGAAAAATTAGGAAATCTCAGCAGAGAAACAAAAAATATAAAAAACAACTAAACAGAAATCATAGAGTTGAAAATAAATATCTGGAATTTTTAAACATTACAGGATTAGCATAACAGCAGAATGGAAATGACAGAATAAAGTCAGTGAATTTGGAGATAGATCCATGTAAATTATCCAATCTGAAAAGTAAACAGAAAAATATTGGACAACAACAAAAAGAACAGAGACTCAGGGACCTTTGGGACAACATAAAAGGTCTAAAATGCATGTAATTGGAGTCTCAGAAGAAAAGGAAGGAGACTGGAGTGCATTCTTCCCCTAAAACAATGGCAGAAGACTCCCCAAATTTGTTGAAGGATGTGAATTTACAGATTAAAGTAGCTCAGTAAACCCCAAACAGAATTTATATGAAGACAACCACACGCAGACACATCATAATCAAACTTAGAAAACTAAAAGAGAAAATCTTGAAAGGAATGAGAGAAAATGAACAATGGTTTGAATAACTACAAACTTCTCATCAGAAACTATGGAGGACAGAGACAGTGGAACATGTTTAAAATGCTGATAGAAAAAAAACGTCAACCAGAATTCCATATCCGGCAAAAATATTCTTTCATAAAGACATTTTTCACATGAAAGAAAACAGAATTTGTTGCCAGAAGATCTCCATTTCAAGAAATGCTAAAGGAAGTTTTTCAGGATGAAGAGAAATGATACCGGAGGGAAACTGGATTTTCAGAGAGGAATGAAAATGCTGGGAACGATAAATATCTGGGCAGAAACAAACTTGCCACTGCAGCCTCCAAGACAGCATGCAAACTCCTCAGCATGACATCCAGTGCCTCTCACCTCCACCCCCCTGACACATACAGCTCTTGCCTACTTTTCTTTCATGAGAAGCACTTGTGAACTTTTAACAATGCCACCCTGAGTCCCAACTCCAAGCCTTTACAGATGATATTCCTCTATCCAGAATGCTCTCCCTCCTTCTTATCTGTATCTATAAGAATAATATGCACACACACTCATGTTACAACTCAAGGCCACTTGTGTTCCAGGCCACTCCTGACTGTACCAGCCCCTGTTGTGCATTTCTGTATGCAGCTCTAGGGAACAGAACAATGAACTAAGACACACTGCTGAAACACTTTAGTGTGTCAAAGCACCTTCCCCACCACTGTTTCATTTAGTTCTCACAAAAGCAGTGTGAGGCAGGAGGGAGGCTCTTGTGACCCACCTTGTATTGATGAGCCACTCAGAGAAGCTGAGTGGTTTTCAGAAAGCTGCACACCCAGGGTTTGGCAAAGCTGACACTAGTACGTGGCTCCTCAGACCCTCATCCCAGAGTTCTGTGTCCACTTGGCCATACTGACATATAACATATGGTGTCTGCCTGCAACCAATTTATAATCTTTTTGGATTGTAAACTTTCATACGACTACAAAAAGTCAAATAGTAAGGCAATAACTCAATACACTCCTGGACTGGAGATCTTGGACCTGGTCAAGCAATAGAAAGACTTGTGAAAACTACAAACTCCAGAACCCATGACAGGCCAACTGAATCACAATCTCTCTAGGGCTGTGCCTGGGATCTATATTTTTGTTAAAGTCCCATGGGTGATTCTGATATGCAGCCACAACTGAGAACCTCTTCATTACATGACTAATTGTACAATGACTGAAATTTGTCATTTCAGTCCGGATTACTTTTTAATCCAGACAGTGGGCACTGGGAGAAGAGAGAAATGGGTGTGGACTGGAGTGCCATGAGAACAGGAAGTCTGAGTAGGGCTTTGAAGGAGGGAAAATTTGGATTGGCAGAGAGAGAAGATGTATTATATTTCAGGACAGTGGGGTAGGAAGGGTGATACACGTTCAAGGAATTGAATGTTTCTGAGCAGTGGTATGGTCTACAGGAATCGAGATCTAAGAATGAGAATCCAGTGGTCAACATAGAGGTTGAACAGGAAGGGCATGACACAGGATGCTTGAGCCCTACCATGAACTCTAACAGTGCTTCTGTCTGTAACTCTTACCTTGGGTGGATTCTATGTTCTGTGATCTTTCTCTGAATCCCAACCCTATGAGCTTGTCCTTCTCTCACAGCCCTTATACTTTTCTACCACATATTCTTATTATTCCCCTAGATTTCTGAGTTCCTTGAGGGGTATTGTCTATCTTTCTATCCCCTAGATTGGTGATTTTCAACAACAGGTGATTTTTGCCCCCCCAAAGACATTTGGCACTGTCTGGAGATATTTTTGGTTGCCACAACTAGGAGAGGGGGTACTCCTGGCATCTAGGGAGATACTGGTAAATATCCTACAATGCACAGTTATTAAAAGGATTATCCATCTCAAAAAGTCAGTAGTTCCATGGATGAGAAACTCTGCCATAGGTAAAGTGACAAGCACACTTAATTGCTTTATTAGTATATTAAATGTATTGTTATTATTTAATATTAGTAATTAAACATTTATTATTTAATAACTCTTTGATGGATAGCTGAACAACCAAATGAATGAAAAAAGGATTTGTGTCTATCAGCTTCCTTTACCTCTCAGATTTTTTTGTTTCACAGATAGTAAAACTATAAAAACAAAAACTGGGGAGACCAACATAGAATTACTTATTGCCACACATAGGCATTAAAAATAAAACTATCAACTACTGTAACAGTTACTTCCTAAAATAAAGGACATTTTAACTATAAAATATAATATCATTAATAATAAAAATAAAACAGGAAGCATGTTACCAAGAAAGGTCAGTACAGCAGCCAACAGTTGCTGTAGGCTGGTGAAAAGTTCACTTCAGTCAGCCCTGGACCACTGCCCATCAACGTGGGAACCTCTGATATTACAAGCTCCTTGAGGCTAGGGCTCCTGTCATACAGGTAGCCCTCTGGCTCTTAATGCTGGACAGCCCAGTGGCAAGCCCCACCTCTGCTGCCCACCCCTACCTTGTATTCCAGAGAGAGCAAAGTCTCCGTCTTGGAGGTCCAGCTCCACTTGTGGACTACGTAGCCCTTGTAGTCGTTGGTGGTCCCACCTTCCTCATCCAACACCAAGACGTATGGGCAGCTAGGAGAGATACATAAATGAGGAGCTTCCTCCAGGACCTGGAAGGAAGCCCCCATCACTACAGGCTATAGGCAGGCAGGGCTCTGAGACTCTGCCCCAGGTGGAGGAACTGTGGACTCTTGCAGGTGGCCCTACTCACCCCACCTAACATGGTCTGATGTCCCTTCACACCTGTTGATGCTACTGGGGAGTCTGTTGGGAAGGTCAGATCTGAAGGAGATGGTGGAGGCTCAGGCCTAACCCAAGGGGGAGAGAAATGGAATGTGTGCCCGTAGCCCAGGAGCCTGAGCATATAAGATCTCAGGCACCAAAATGGGAAATGGAACAACCGTCACATGAAAGTAAGTCAATCCCTCCTAGAACAGTTCCTTAGGAAAATCAGACAAAATCAACATTTGGCTACCAAGAATATGTGCTACCCATGGCCTCTCCTTCACTGCTTCGTAGTATAAAACACTTCTCTCCCCTAAAGAATTCTTCCATGAATCTAGCTAACAGTGAAGATCTCAGTGCTCTGGGGGGAACAAGTGGAGTAGGACTTGGGGAATTTCCCTTCTCATTGGCTATGACATGAATCCAGCAAGTAAGGGCCTCAAAGCACCTATGTCCCTACAGGCACTGCTTTGGCCCTGCCACACTGTCTTCCTAGATCTCTGGACACTGCCTGGAGCTCCTACTTTGCACCTCGGTGCCCCACTTTGTCACCCTCAGAGATACTTCCATGGGGCCAAGATTCCCCCAACTGACTCACCAGGCCTTCAGGTTGTAGTGAATGCAGCCCTGGCCTTCAGCATTGAACACGGCCAGGAAGGAGAAGCTGGGTGTGTCATAAAGAGGCAGGTGATGGCTCTCCCTCTGCAGCACATGGGGATCTGACACACGGCGATGTGTCCAGAGGGATAGCTGGCAGAAATTGTTAAGTAGAACTAACAGAAAACTCTCAGAATTTCTGCTCTTAGGTGCCTCATGGAAAGCAAGTCTACATGTCAGTGTTTTAGCTGTTTGGTACATCATTCCCAGTCTTCTGCACTTTGCATAAGTAACAACTAAATGACTATGGAACCAACCATGCCCTGGGTGCTTCCCTGTATCCTCTTTCTACCCCTCACAACCACCCTGTGTTAGGTACTATTACCTTCATCTCACAGATGAGTAGGATTTCCCTGCATGTAAGGGGTTTCCTGAGATGCAGTACTTTCAGTGATAAAACCAGGAAAGTCCCAGACAAACCAGGGTAAGTTATTCACCCAACAGATGAGGAATACAAGGTGCAGAGAAGTGATCTGCCTTACATCACACCACAGGAAGTGGCAGAGCCAGTATCTGAACTCTGAGGCCAGGATATTTCTAATGCTGTTAGGCTGCTTCCCCTTCTTACCAATCTAGAAGAGTAGACAATGTCTCCCTGTTCATTTCCTACTTAGGAGGCCGCAAGGAGCACTGGTCCTGACTAAAACAGATATGGTGTGGGCAGCTACTATCCTTTTTGCCAGAATTTCAGAAGTGCCCCAGACAGGAAGAATTTCAGTGATCCTACAATCCCACTCCTGGGCATATATCCAGAGAAAACTATAATTCAAAAAGATACATGCACCCCAATGTTCACTGCAGCACTATTTACGATAGCCAAGACATGGAAGCAACCTACATGTCCAGCAACAGATGAATGGATAAAGAAAATGTGTCACACACACACACACACACACACACACACACACACACACACACACTGGAATATTACTCAGCCATAAAAAAGAATGAGATAATGACATTTGCAGCAACATATAGGACCTAGAGATTAACATACTAAGTGAGTAAGTCAGAGACAAAGACAAATATCATATGATATTGCTTATATGTGGAACCCTAAAAAAATGAACTCATTTACAAAACAGGAATAGACCCACAGACATAGAAAACAAACTTATGGTTACCAAAGGAGAAGAGTGAGGGGAGGGATAAATTAGGAGTTTGGGATTAATATATACACACTCCTATACGTAAAATAGATAACCAACAAGGACCTACCATATAGCACAGGGAACTATGTTCAGTAATTTATAATAATCTACAATGGAAAAGAATCTGAAAAATAATATACATATACACATATAACTGAATCACTGTGCTGTATACCTAAAACTAACACAACATTGTAAATCAACTATACTTTAATTTATTAAATTTTAAAATAAATAAATTAATTAATTATTAAACCAAAAAATAAATAAAATTCATTAGATGGATTTAGCACTATGCTGGAGCAGTAGAAGAAAAAAATCAGTGAACTTGAAGACAGAACAACTGAAATTATCCAGCCTGAGGAGCAAAAAGAAAAAAGAATGAAGAAAAATGAACAGAACCTAGGAGACCTGTGGGACACCACCAAGTAGACCAATATATGCATAACAGGAGTCCCAGAAGAAGTGAGGGGACAGAAAGAAATAATGGTTGAAAACTCCCCAATTTTTATGAAAGATATGACTCTATACATTCAAGAAGATCAACAAACTGCAAGTAGGATAAATTCAAAGACAGCCACGTTATTATCGAACTGCAAAAAGACAAAGAAAGAATCTTGAAAGCAGCAAAAGAAGAGACTTGTCATGTACAAGGGATCCTTAATAAGATTAGTGGCCAAGTTCTCATAAGAAACCAAGAAGGCCAGAGGCACTGGGATGAAATATTTAAAAAGCTGAAAAAAAAAAAAAGCTATCAACCAAGGCTTCTATATTGAATAAAACTATTCTTCAAAAATGAAGGAGAAATTAAGATTTTTCCAGATAAACTAAAGCTGAGACAGTTCACCACTAGTACACCTGCCCTACAAAAAATGCTAAAAGGATTCCTTAAGGTTGAAATGAAAAAACACTTGACAGTAACTCAAAGACAAACAAAGGAAAAAAGAACACCAGTAAAGGTAACTACATAAGTAAATATAAAATTCAGTATTATATTATTATTTTGTTTATAATTCCTTTTTTCCTACATGATTTGAAAAAACAATACTTGTAAATCTATATTAATGGCAATGTATATATAAAGAGTTAATTTCTGTTAACAACAAAATAAAGGAGGAGGAATGGAGCTGTATAGGAGCAGAGTCTTACATGCTATTGAGGCTAAGTTGGTCTTAACTCAAACTAATACGTTGTCAAATGTAATTAGTTTCTTCAGGCTGCTGTAACTAAGTACCACAAACTGGGTGACTTGAACAGCAGAAATTTATTCTCTCACAGTCTGGAGTCTAGAAGTCTGAAATCAAGGTGCTGATAGGGCCATATTCTTGGAGGCTCTGGGGAAGAACACTTCCTTGCCTCTTCCTATTTTTCTAGTGGTTACCAAGAATCTTTAGCATTCCTTGGTTTATAGATGCATCATTCTAACGTCTATCTCAGTCATCATGTGGTGTTCTTCCCTCTCTGTGTGTCTGTTTTCTCTTCTTATAAGGACACCAGTGGATTAGGGCTCATTCTAATCCAATATAACTGCATCTTAATAATTATATCTGCAAAGACCCTATTTCTAAATATGGTCATATCCTGAGGTTCCAGGTAAACATAAATTTTTGCTGGACATTATTCAACCCATTATACCAGGGAAACCAATAAGAAAATAACTAGAAAGTGTGGAGAAAAGGAAATCAGAGAGCTACCATATAATCCAGCAATCCCACTCTTCAACATATACCCAGAGAAAAACATGGTTCAAAAGGATAAACACACCCCAATTGTTCATTGCAGCACTGTTTACAATAGCCAAGACATGGAAGTGACCTAAATGTCCACTGACAGATGAATGGATAAAGATGTGGTACATATATACAATGGAATATTACTCAGCCATTAAAAAGAATGAAATAATGTCATTTGCAGCAACATGGATGGACCTAGAGATTATCATACCAAGTGAAATAAGTAGGACAGGGAAAGACAAATATCATATGATATCACTTATATGCTGTATCCAAAAAGAAAAAATGAAAGAAATGTACTTATTTACAAAACAGAAATAGACTCACAGACTTAGAGAAGGAACTTATGGTTACTGGGGAGAAGGGTGGGAGGAGGGATAGATTGGGAGTTTGGGATTGACATGTACACACTGCTGTATTTAAAATAAAATGCCTTGGGACTACCCTGGTGGCACAGTGGTTAAGAATCCACCTGCCAATGCAGTGGACACAGGTTTGATCCCTGGTCCAGGAAGATCCCACACACCACGGAGCAACTAAGCCCGTGTGCCACAACTGCTGAGCCTGTACTCGAGAGCCCGCGAGCCACAACTACCGAGCCCACGGGCCACAACTACTGAAGCCCTTGTGCGTAGAGCCTGTGCTCCGCAATAAGAGAAGCCACCATAATAAGAAGCCCATGCACCACAACAAAGAGTAGCCCCCACTTGCCACAACTAGAGAAAGCCCATGCACAGCAACAAAGACCCAATGCAGCCCCCATACATACATACATACATAAAAATAAAATGCCTTTCCATGAAAAAGAAAGAAAACAAACAGCAAAATGGCAGAATTCAGTCCTCCCATATCATCAATTACTTTAAATATAAATGGATTAAACTCTCCAAAGGCAGAGATCTGCCAAATGGATAAAAACAAAACAAAATATATTACTCAACTATATGCTATCTACAAGAGACTCACTTTAGATGCTAAGACACAACTAGGTTGAAAGTGAAATGATGGAAAAGGATATTCCATGCAAATAGTAACCAAAAGAAAGGTGGCTGTATTGATATCAGACAAAATAGACTTTAGTAAAAATTTTTACAAGAGACAAAGAAGGACATTATGTATTGAGAAAAGGGCCAATACCTCAAGAAGATATAACAACTATAGACATATAAACACCTAACAACAGAGCCCTAAAATATATAAAGCAAAAATGCAAAGAATTAGAGGAAGAAATAGTTCTACAATAAGAGAGACTTCACTACCTTACTTTCAATAATGGCTAGAAAAACTAGACAGAAAATCAGAGGACTTGAACAATAGTATAAACCAACTAGAGCTACCAGGCATATACAGAATATTCCACTTGACAACAGGAGAATACACGTTCTTCTCAAGTTCACAAGGATTGTTCTCTGGTCTACACAGTATGTTAGGCCACAAAACAAGTCTCAATAAATTTCAAAAAACTGGAACCATAAAGAGTATATTCTCTGACAACAGAATGAAACTAGAAATCACTGGCAGAAGGAAATTTAGAAAATTCACAGACAGGTGGAAATTAAGCACACACTTTTAAACAACTAATGGATAGAGAATAAATCACAAGGGAAATCAGAAAATACTTTGAGATAAATGAAAACAAAAACACAAAATACCAAAACTTATGGGATCAGGTGAAAGCAGTACTCAGAGAGAAATTTACAGCTATAAATATTCACATTATGACAGTCTCTAGGCCCAATCCATGCTGGTGCAAATGGCATTATTTCATTTGTTTATACAGCCTAGAGATTGTCATACTGAGTGAAGTAAGTCAGTCAGAGAAAGACAAATATCATATGATATCACTTATATGTGGAATCTAAAAAAATGGTACAAATGAACTTATTTACAAAATAGAAATAGAGTCACAGATGTAGAAAACAAACTTATGTTACTAGGGGGGAAACGGGGGGGGAGGGACAAACTGGGAGATTGGGATTGACATACACACACTACTATATAAAAAATAGATAACTAATAAGAACCTACTGTATAGCACAGGGAATTCTTCTCAATACTCTGTAATGACCTGTATGGGAAAAGAATCTGAAAAAGAGTGGATATAGTAAATCAACGATACTTCAATTTAAAAAAAGATTAAAAGATTAAAAATTTAAAAAACTAAGAGTGGATATATGTATAAGTGATTCACTTTGCTGTACAGCAGAAACTAACAACATTGTAAATCAACTACACACCAATAAAATTTGTTAAATATTCATATTAAAGGAGAAGAAAGATCTCAATTCAATAACCCAACCTTCTACCGTAATGAACTATAAAAAGAACAGTAAAGTAAAACTAAAGCTAGCAGAGGAAGGAAATAATAAAGATTAGAGAAAAGAAAAACAAAACAGAGAACAGAAAAAACAATAGAGAGAACTGACAAAACCCAAAACTGGTTCTTTGAAACGATCTGTAAAATTAACAAAACTTTAGCTACACTGACTGAGGGGGAAAAAAAAAGGAAGACTCAAATTCCTAAAATCAGAAATGAAAGTGGAGACATTACTACTGACCTTACAGAAATGAAAAAAGATCATAAGAGAATTATATGAAGATCTGTACCTCTACCAGTTAGGTAACCTAGTTGAAAAGGACCAATTTCTAGAAACATGCAAAGCAAAGTTGCAGGATACAACACCAACACATAGAAATAAGTTGTCCATGAACATGGGATGTCTTTCCATTCATTTCAGTCCTCTCTACTTCAGCAATATTTTGTAGTTTTCAGTGTACGAGTTTTACACCTCCTTGGTTAAATTTATTCCAAAGTATTTTATCCTTTTTGATGTTATTGTAAATGGTATCATTTCCTTTTGTTTATTACTTTTCTATTGTAGTTGTTGCTCATATAGCATTTCAGATCATTTGTTCCCGGTGTTCATGGATTGGAAGAATTAATATTGTTAATGGCAATGCTCCCCACAGTGATCTACAGATATTGGGTTGGACAAAAAGTTTGTTTGGGTTTTTCTGTAACATCTTAGGGTCTTTTTGGCCAACCCAATACAATGCAATCCCTATCAATCCCATCAATCTTTTTTGCAGCAATGGAAAACTTGATCCTAAAACTCGTACAGAATTGCAAGGGTACCCAAATAACTAAAATAATCTTGAAGAAAAGAATAAAGATGAAGGACCCACACTTATTGATTTCAACACTTACTACAAAGTGATAATAAAACAGTGTGGTACTGGCATAATAGACATATATATCAACAGAACAGAATTGAGAGTCCAAAAATAAGCCCATATATCTATGGTCAATTGATTTTCAACAAGGGCGACAAGACCATTCAATGAGGGAAAGAATACTCTCTTCGACAAATAGTGCTAGGACAATTGGGAACCACATGCAAAAGAATGAAGTTGGACCCTTACTCATACTATATGCAAGGATCAACTGAAAAATGGACCAGAGATCTAGACCTAAGAGCTATAACTATAAAGCTCTTAGAAGAAAACAGAGGAATAAGGAATAGTTTCTTAGATATAAAATCCAAAAATATAGAAAAACTGGACTTCATCAAAATTTAAATCTTTTGTATATCAAAGGATGCTATCAAGAGTATGAAAAGACACCTCACAGTACAGGAAAAATATATGTAAATTATATATCTGATAAGGGCCTAGTATCCACAATATAAAAAGAACTCACAACTTAATCAAAAAATGGGCAAAGGACTTGAATACACATTTCTACAAAGAAGATTATACAAAGAAGGCACATGAAAATGCTCCTAATCATTAGCTATTAGGGAAATGCAAGTCAAAACCATGACAAGATATCACTTCACACCCACTAGAATGGCTGGAAATTAAAAATTGGAAAATATCAAGTATAGTCAAGGATGTGGAGAAATTGAAACCCTCACACATTGCTGGTGGGAATGTAAAATGGTGCAGCCACTTTGGAAAACATTCTGAATGTTTTCATAATAAGTTAATAAGTTAAATATAGAATTATCATATGACCCAGTAATTCCACTCCTAGGTATAGACCGAAAAGAAATGAAAACAGTGTGCAAATAAAAACTTCTCCAAGAATGTTCACAGCAGCATTATTCATGCTAGCCAAATGGTGGGAGCAATCTAATGTCCATAAATGAAAGAATGGATTTTAAAAAGTGGTATATCCATACAACAGAATATTAGTCAGCCACGAAAAGGGAGGAAATTCTGACACATGCTACAACATGTATGAATCTTGAAAACATTAAGTGAAGGAAGCCAGGCATAAAAGGCCACATACTGTAAGATTCCATTTATATGAGATGTGCAGAATAGGCAAATCCATAGAGACAAAAAAACAGATTGGTGGTTGCCCCTGGGGGTAGGCAGAAATGAGGAGTGACCAATTAATGGGTATAGGGTTTTCTTTTGGGGTGAACTCAATAGAGGAGTTGGTTGCACAACACTGTAAATGTGCTAAATGCCACTAAATTGTACACATTAAAAGGACTGACTTTATGTCATGTGAATTTCACCCCAATCAAAAAAACAAAGGGAGGGAATTCCCTGGAGGTCCAGTGGTTAGGACTCTGAGCTTCCACTGCCAAGGGCTGGGGTTCAATCCCTGGTCGGGGAACTGGGAGAACTGATGCATACGACAACATGGAAGAACCTCGAAAACATTATGCTAAGTGAAAGAAGCCAGATAAAAAGACCACATACTGTGTGACTCCATTTATATGCAGTGTCTGGAATAGGGAAATGCATAGAGACAGAAAGGAGATGAGCAGTTGCCAGGGACTGTGGGGGAGGAGAAATGGGGAGTGACTGCTTATTAGGTACAGGGTTTCCTTCTGAGGTGATGAAAAAGTGCTGGAAACTAGATAGTCGTGATGGTTGTACAACACTATGAATGCCACTGAATTGTACACTTCAAAATGCTTAAAATGGTAAATGTTATGTGCATTTTACATATTAAAAAAATGTGCACCTCACACAGCAGTTCTGAGTGCTCAACAAATCCCTAAAGGAACAGCACTTAGCACAGTACTGGGCACATGGTGATTATGGTTTGTTTTTAATGTGGTGAGTTGTATCTTTGTATGAAAAAAGGACTTGAGGGAAGTTTGACAGGAGACTCAGCCATTGAGGAGAGAGGTCCAAGGAGATGCTGACAGCCCAAATGAAAGGGATGCCGGGGATGGTTCTGGGGTCTGACACTGACCAGTGCAAACCCACTAGGGCTTGGAGCTTTTTGGCAATCCAAGGGCAGACACATCACTTCTACCTGAGAGTTTTGCCCAGCAGTCTCCGTGAAGACAGAATTAGCTGCCAAGTCCAGGGTTCTGTGGAACCCATGAGGGAGGGAAGTGTCTCCCAAACATTTTCTCTACTCCAGAGGGATCCAACACCTGCACGTGTGTTTTGGCCATTTGATCACAGTAACACAGATGCTGTCCTTCAAGATCACTGGGTCCAACTTTCTCACCTTGTAATGGAGAGAAGTGAGGCCCAGAGAGATGGAATGGCTTATGCAGGGTCACCAAGAAGAACTGGGCCTAGAATCCAGGCCTCTTGGGACTCCCACAGCAGAAATACATTAATGACCAAGATCACTGGGGTCTGAGTCAAGCGCACCAGCATCGATGGCCTGAGGTCTCGGGTGGTCCCAGCAGGGGGTCCTTGGGATTCTGTGGCAGGGAAGGGAACATGGATCCCAGCACGCTGGTCTGCAGTACCTTGATCCCCTGATCTACACTTGTCCACCCCTCTCTGGTCCTGCCAATAGCAACCTAATTCACGGACACAGCTTCATGAGTTCAGGGTGATGGTCCCATTCAATGCAGTGTTGAGGAAGAAAAGGGGGGAGAGGGAGCCCCATGACCCCTGTGAGCAGCAGCTGCCTGGGAAGGTGTGTGCTGAGTTCAATGCACAAGGTGCCCTGGAAGCAGGGCTAAGCAGAGGGTAATGAATGCACTCATTTATGGTCAGAGAAACCATAGGACTCCTTTGACAGGCACTGCAATTCTGAATTCCCAGTTCAGTGGAGAGGAGGCCAAAGGAAGCGAGGGGGGCCATGGCCAGAAAGGCCTGCTGGGCCGCCTGTTGAGACGGCTCAGAGAGCCACCTCCCTCTAAGGTAAAGTGGTACATTCACTCCATTCCATTAATCATTGCATATAATACTCGATAAACATCTGTGAATGAAGAAAGCAACCTGACTCCATTCATGCTAAAATATGCATAACTCTCAGCCTTTACCCTGCATGTTAGAAATCTTAGTTTTCCTCAGTCTAGGGTTCTTGGTGCATAGACAAGCTTTGAAGGTCCGCAGACCCCCTGCAATCACAGAAAATGTTTTACATGCATGTGTATCAGTTCATATTTCTGGGAAGAGGGTCTATAGCTTTCACCAGATTCTCAACGAGAAAATGTGTCCCCTTGTGCCACTCACACACCCCGAGGTTGGGACCCAGCTGCCCACATTCTCATGAATACCGCCAGACCTCAGCTGCAGATCAACCCGAGCATGTGCCAGGTGGGGTATGTGCAGTGCGGGTTAGACTCCAAATACATGGATCTTGGGGGCAAAGTATGCAAGAAACACAGTACTTACCCATTGAGCCTGGGACAGAAGGACAAAGAACCCCGCCCCCAGGATGGAGGGTCTCCTATCACCTTCTCTCGGCTAGAGATGAATTGCTCTGTGTCTCCAACCTCTTCCCACCTGGGAGAGCCTCGAAGGCAGGGACTGCTGCTGCACCCCCAGCCCGCACTGACACGTAATCACAGATAGTCGGGTTCAGTACGTACTGGTTGATCAGGACCGAATTTGAGGCTTGACTCTTGGTACTTCTTCTCTGACCTGAACAAACTCTTAATATCCCAGAGGACCCGTCACCAGACTTCTCTGACCAAATGAAAAGCCAAAGGAAACACTCTGGCTTTGTCAAAGCCTGGAGTTCTCTGGGCTGAGCTGCTGGGGAGAAAGGGAAGCACCAAATAAAAGGATACTAAACGAAGAAGGACCCATCATAGAAGGTGTAATGCAACTTGATGGCCTTCTTGGGTGCCTTCCATTCCTGAAAATGCCGGTCCAAGTGAAGATGATGGGCAGGAGGTTGGTGAGGGGTGGGAGTGGAAGTCTGAGCACCTGGAGGGTGCGGATGGTGGGAGCTTGGGATCTGAGTGTCCCCTTTGGGGGTAGACATTAGATGAGGGGGCATCTTTGCCCTGTAGTTGCGTAAGATCATGGGTAGAAGATATTCCTCCCTTTCCACAAGACCCTTTTGGCTTCTCTGCAGGGAAGGAGACCAACATATTTTCTAGCCACTTGCCTCTCACTCACCAGGCTCTCTACAGCCCCTCCCCAGCTCCCCAGACTCCCATTCCATTTCCCTGTCCCCAAAGTATCTGTCCCTACCCCAACCCCTCATCCTTACAGGTAATGTTTTTAGGAAGAACTGGGAAGGTCCCCATACCCCTTTGAGACCGGCCCTGGCCTGATTTCCACCTTTTGCACAGGAGTGGGGACCCATGGAGTGGAGCTGCGTGTGGAACAGGGTGGCAGAGCTGGAGGCTTTGATCACCTCCCAATCCTGAGCTTACAAAGGAAGACAGCTTCCTTCTGGAATGTCACAGTAAGGAGCAAACTGGGTGGCTGCCCTCTACGCATATTCTACAGCTGCAGTGACAGTGGCCTGTGAGCCCCAGGACACATATATGCTTAGATGTAACTAGGTTTGAAATCCTTTATGGCCTATGGTCCAGGCCTTTGGAGGAACGCAGATTCACTTGCTAGGACTTGTGGGACACACAAAATCATAAATACCATTAATCACCCATGTCAGTGTTTTTTGTTTTGAGAGCTGTTCCTTTTTTTCTAAGAGAACATCTGACAAATTATGTCAAGAAATAAACATTCTTAACTGTAAGGGTGTGTAAACTTTAAGAAGCCATGCAAAGGGGTCTCACTGGTGAGGAGGCAAAGAACATTGCCCTGGGACAGGCCCATTGAGCTGTGGGACCTCAGACAATGCCTTACCATGTGCTTGGGGTACCTCAGTTTCCTCATCTGTAAAATGGGCATAAACCTGTCTTCCTCATAAGGTCATAGTAGGACTGAAAATGACTGTGATTGTGGAAGGACTAGGGACCTGTGTGTGAGGGACAACTATCACACTGTCACTGTGGCTGGGGGCACTGGGTAGCCAACATGTCCGTGATCCCCCTCCACACACACACAGGCTGTGCCCTCCTCTCCCATACACCCCCAACCACTAAGGTGCTCACATAAGGCGACACATCTCCTGCAGCTTCTCCCGGGCTTCAGGGCAGGGGTCGCTGAACTCGATAACCTCAGAGGCAGAGGTTCCCGCTCCTCGTTGTGGGGATGTCAAGACTACTTCTTCCAAATTTGGGGGTTTGCCTGTAGCTGGAGATGAACAGGTTAGGGAGGGTTTTAGAAAATGGTTTCTCAAGACGTCATGTTCACCTGGGGTGAGGGGGCGGGGAGAGCAGGAGAGCTGCATCCCTTGAGAATCAAAATAACTGTGGGAATCATTTATGCTTCCAGGGATAAGAATCCCCAGCAGGTCACTTATGAAACAGAGGCGGCGCTCTGTGAGTCAACTGAGTGTGTGTCAGGAACACTCATGCAGAGTGGTGAATCCAGCCACATTTCCCCAAGGGCGGCCTGGTCCTGGGTAGAGAGAGCACACACATGGCTGTGGTGGATGCAGAAGGGATTCCCTTGTGACACTTCTGACTTAAGACAAAAAGTCCCAGTTCCATCTCAATGGCTCAATGGCTCAAGGGCTTCAACACTTCTCTGATGCTGGCTTACCTCGGCCTTCGGCAGAGGGCAGAGTATATCAACTGAGACTCACGACTGTGATGTTTTGTGGGCTTTTGTGTGTGCTTGTGGTAAAATACGTATAACAAAAATTTAGCGACTTAAATTTTAAGAGGCAAGTTCAGTGGTATTAAATACATTCACAGTGTTGTGCAACCGTTATCACCATCTATTCCCGTAACTCTTTTTATCTTATAAAATTGAAACTCTGTAACAATAACCCCCCATGCTCCCCTACCCCCAGCCCCTGGCAACTGCCAATCTACTTTCTATCTTTATGATTTTGAGTACTCTAAGTACCTCCTATAAGTGGAATCATACAGTATTTGTCTTTTTTGTGACTGGTTTGTTTCATGTAGCATAATGTCCTCATGTTTCACCCATGTTATAACATATTGCAGAATTCCCTTCCTTTTTAAGGCTACATAATATTCCATTATAGGTGTAGACCAAATCTTTCTTTTCAATTTTTTAAAATATTTATTTATTTGGCTGTGCCAGGTCTTGGTTGTGGCACTCGGGATCTTCATTGCGGCATGCAGGATCTTTTAGTTGAGGCATGTGGGATCTAGTTCCCTGAACAGGGTTTGAACCAGGGCCCCCTGCATTGGCAGCATGGAGTCAACCACTGGACCACCAGAGAAGTTGCATTCCAGGAATAAATCCTGTTTAGTGTCATGTTGTATAATCCTTTTATTATGCTGCCGAATTCTGTTTGCTAATATTTTGCTAAGGATTTTTGCATAAATGTTCATCAGGTATATTGGTTTGTAGTCTTCTTCTAGTGTCTTCGGCTCCAATATCAGGGCAATATTGGCCTCACAGAATGAGTTGGGAAGTGTTCCCTCTTCAATTTTGGGGAAAAATTTTAGAACGATTGGCATTAATTCCTCTTTAAATGTTTGGTAGAATTCATCACTGAAGTTATCAGGTCCAGGGATTTTCTTTGTTGGGAGATTTTTGATAACTGATTCAATCTCTTACTATTTCTAGGTCTAGTTCAAATTTTCTATTTCTTCATGATTTAGTCTAAGTAGGTTTTGTGTTTTAGGAATCTGTCCACTTCATGTAGGTTATCCAATTTGTTGGCATACAGTTAGTTGTTCATAGTACTCTCTGATAATCCCTTTTATTTCTGTAGAATCAATAGTTGTGTCCCATTTTCAATTCTGATTTTAGGAATTTGAGTCTCCTTTCTTTTTTTCTTAGTCCATCTAGCTAAAGATTTGTCAATTGTGTTGATCTTTCTGAAGCATCAACTTTTGGTTTCATTGATTTTCTGTTTTTTTTATATTCTCTAGTTTATCTCTGCTCTAACCTTTATTTCCTTCCTTCTCTAGCTTTGGGTTTAGTTTAAAGTTCCTTAAGTTGTAAAGTTAGGTTGTTTACTTGAGATCTTTCTTGCCTTTTAATGTAAGCATTAATAGCTATAAATTTTCCCCTTAGCATTGCTTTCACTGTACCCCATAAGTTTTGGTATGCTGTTTTCATTTTCTTTCTTTTTTTTTTTTTTTGCAGTACATGGGTCTCTCACTGTTGTGGCCTCTCCCGTTGCGGAGCACAGGCTCCGGACATGATGCAGGCTCAGCGGCCATGGCTCACGGGCCTAGCCACTCTGCAGCATGTGGGATCTTCCTGGACTGGGGCACGAACCCGTGTCCCCTGCATCGGCAGGTAGACTCTCAACCACTGTGCCACCAGGGAAGCCCGCTGTTTTCATTTTCATTTGTCTCTAGTATTTTATAGTTTTCCTTGTAATTTCTTCTTTGATCCATTGATTAGGTGTGTGTTATTTAATTTCCACAATTTTGTAAATGTTCCAATTTTCCTTCTGTTACTGATTTCTAACTTCATCCCATTGTGGTAAGATAAGATACTTTGAGTGAAATCTATTTCTTTTAATCTACTGAGACTTAATTTGTGGCCTAACATATGATCTATCCTAGAAATGTCCCATGTACACTTGAAAAGAATGTGCACTGGTTTTGTTGTTTTGTTTGTGTTCTGCATGTGTCTGTTAGATCTAGTTGATTTATTGTGTTGTTTTTTATTTTCTTACTTCTGTCTGTTATTCTATCCATTATTGTGAGTGGGTTATTGATGTCTCCCACTATTACTGTAGAACTACTTGTCTTCAACTGGTCAGGTTTTGCTTCATATATTTTGATGGCCTGTCATTAGGTGCATAAATGTTTATAACTGTTGTATCTTCTTACTGTATTGAAATTTTATTATTATAGAATGTCCTTCTTTGTCTCTTGTAATCTTTTTAAATTTAAAGTCTATTTTATCTGATATTAGTAGAGTCACCCCTGCTCTCCTTTGGTTACTATTTGAATGGAATATCTTTTTCCATATTTTCACATTCAAACCCAATTGTGTCTCTGGATCTCAAGTGAGTCTCTTATAGCATATAGTTGGATCATGAGTTGCTATTCATTCTCCCAATCTCAGTCTTTTGATTACAAAATTTAGCCAATTTACATTTAAAGGAATTACTGATAAGGAGGGACTTGCTTCTGTTACTGTGTTTTTTATTTTCTATATGCCTTATTAGAGTTTTTGTTCTTCATATCCTGCATTACTGTCTTCATTTGTTTTAATTTTTTGTAGTGAAATTTTAAAATTTCTCATTTCCTTTTCTGTATATTGTAGTTATTTTCTTTGTGGTTACCATGGGGATTACAACTTCAATAACGTACAAAAACTCTCCTCCTTTACAGCATCATCCCCATCACTGTCAGTTGTTAATGTCCTAAAAATTACATCTTTTTATATCGTATGTCCCAAAACATAAATTAACATTTCTTTTAAATGCATTAATCTTTCAAATTATGTAGAAACTAAGATTTGGAGCTACAAACCAAAGTTAACAGTAATACTGGCTTTTACACTAATTTTTTTCTTTAAATATATTAGTCTCTTAAATCATGTAGAAAAACAAAAAGTGCAGTTACAAACTACTGTTACAATAATACTAGCTTTTATTCTTTCCTATGTATTACCTTTATTGAGGTCTTTATTTCTCCATATAGCTTTGTGGTTCTCTCTAGTGTCCTTTCATTTCACCTTGCAGGACTCCCTTGAGCACTTCCTGCAGCACAGATTTAGTTGTCATGAACTGCCTCAGGTTTTCTATGTCTTAATGTCTTGCTCAGTTTTGAAGCACAGTTTTCCTGAATTCAGGATTGATTCTTAGCTGACAGGTTTTTTCTTTAAGCATTTTGAATATATTTGCCCTGTACCTTGTATCCTCCAAATTCTGATGAGAAACCTGCTAATGATCTTATTGAAATTCATTGTATGTGAGGATTCACTTCTCTCTTACTGCTTTCAAGATTCTCTTTTTGTCTTTGTCTTTTGAAAGTTTGATGATTAATGTGTCTTGGTGTGGGTTTCTCTGAGTTCATCTTTCTGGGAGTCTGCTGAGTTTCTCTGACGTTTATATTCATGTCTTGCATCAAATTTGGGAAAATTTCAGCCATTATTTCTTTAAATATTCTCTCTGCCTCTTTTGATCTCTCTTCCTCTTCTGGGACTCCCACATGCATATGCCACTTGATGGTGTCCCACAGTTCCCTTAGGCTCTGTTCATTTTTCTTCAGTCTTTTTCCTTTCTGTTCTTCAGACTCAATAATTTCCATTGTCCTGTCTTCGAGCTGATTCTTTCTTCTGCCTGCTCAAATCTGTGGTGGCAATGTTTTGTGCTTATTTCCATTATTTTCAGAGTTATCCCCCATGGCAAGTCTTAGGTGGTATGAGGATATGATGACATAAAATTGTGGAGGTGATCATCCATGGCTGAATTTCCAGAAGCATCTATTCAGGTCCTGCCTGCTTCTGAGCCTCTGCTGCCTACTCAGCTGGAGCCACATGCTCTTCCTTGATATATGTAGGCTCATCTTCACCTTGGACTCAAAAATAAAATGAGTCTTCAGGCCAGGGGCATTGCTTAGGCTCCAACTGAGCCCTGAGGGCCTCAGAACGGAGTCTTTCTCACTGTCAGCCAAGCCTTGAGGTTTCTGGTTGGTGCTTGGGTACCATGTCTGGTATCTGTCACTTTCAGTGGTTCCTGGTCCCTTTCCTGACTCCTCCAGCCATGAGACCAGAGACTTGACCCTAAGGCCCACCTACCTGCTGGCTGACCTCCTGGAACATCTGCTGGCCTGAGCATCCATTTCTGGCCTGCCCCTAGTTGCTTTGGGTCCCCAAGTGTGACAACCAGGAACCACTGTTGACAGATTTCTCTCAATTCTCTGCCTGTTAAGTTGGGCTATGCTCCTGAAATAGCTGTTGTCTGCTCAGGGAGTAGATCCAACTCCTGGAGCCTGTCTGCTCCAAGTCTGCATGACCCTAGAACTGTAAAGGGGGCCAGTTGGCAAGGTGTGACAGCACGTGTACATGGAACAGATAGCAGAGGTCCCAAACCCAAAGTGACTTAAAACCACAATGACTCTACAATATGTTCTTTAAGCTAGGGTACTTTGGAGTGAAAGTGGGTATAATTAATAGTTATGCCAGGACAACAGCATAAACTGGGACTTTCCTGGGCAAGCTAGGACACACGGTTACTTATAAACTATTAGGGAAGGTTAACCACCCATCCTAGCACACATGTGTGAGAAAAATTTCTAAACAATATCAGGAACCTATAAGAAATGCACCAGCGTTGAACATCCTAGTGAGAATGATGCAACATCATGGGGTAATCACATCCTCGGGTGGCAGAGGAAAACTGCCACATAGACAAAGAGACCAACAGACGTACGTAACTTTTGTTTTCGAACAACCTTACTCAAGTCATCACCCCTGAGGTCATTAGGAAGAAAAAAATCACGAAATCACTGGGTGTCCTGAGGATACTTCGTTTCCCCTCAAAGTGACTGCATTGATTTAGGGCCAGCTCAGGAGGAGATATGATAAACCAGGAGCATATAAAGAGGGATGCTGGAAGTGATGCTCACAGTGACAGAAAATGTGTCATGAGAGGTAAAGGAACAGGGGAAACAAGAGTCTGAGGATGTCACCTCCATCAGGGAAGGTGTTCCTTGTCTTAAAATCCACACATGTACCCACAGCATTCAGAACAGTGACTGGGGCTTCCCTGGTGGTGCAGTGGTTGAGAGTCCGCCTGCCGATGCAGGGGACACGGGTTCGTGCCCTGGTCCAGGAAGATCCCACATGCCGCGGAGCGGTTGGGCCCGTGAGCCATGGCCGCTGAGCCTGCGCGTCCGGAGCCTGTGCTCCGCAATGGGAGAGGCCACAACAGTGAGAGGCCCACGTACCAAAAAAAAGAACAGTGACTGACAACTAGCAATTGTTCAATAAACATTTGTTCATTGACTGAAAGGCTACAGGATCAACTTGATATGGAGAGTGAGGCCTGGAAGAAGGCAAATCTCATAGCAATCCGAGGTGGGCTCAGGAATAAAATCCAAGCTTCTCAACTTCTAGCCTTACCTCCAGTGTCTGTGGGAATCACTGGACAGTCTTTGAGCATCCCAAACTTCTGTGGATCCTCCCACCACCACTTTGCAAATACAGTCCCTCCCCTACCCCACCACTCTATCACCACAGCCTTGGGGGCCCTGGAAGTTCCCCGAGAGAAAGTTCCTTCTCTGCCCTCTCCAGCCCCAACTCATCTCTCCTCCAAGCTCTGGCTGCACAGTCACTGCTACCCTGTTTGGTCTCACCCGCCACCAGTTCTTTCCTTTAAGCCTTTCCTTCTGCTCTGCGTTTTCTGCAATAGAAAAGAAATGGCCTCTATGTCTGTTTTCTGCCCACATAAACTGACCCAGCTGGGGACACGTGGTTAGGCTTGGTATCCAAATACGTCCGTTCAGTTACTGGTTCCCCCACTTGCTGGGTGAGTATGGGTAACACAGGTCTCTCTCTGAGAAGAGGGAGTGAGTATGGGATAACATAGGAGGTGGAAGATGTGGGTTTGCTAGGGGTGTTGCCCCAGGTGAGAGGAACCACGTTAACAGAAATGGAGCACTTGTAAACATTCAAATGATGAGACTGCAAAGTGGAGTGACTGGGTTGAGATATGTCACCTTTTATGGGACAGAATCTGTCAATAGCTAATGGGTCTCCAGCCAGGGCAGCTATATATCCTTCCTATCAGAAAACCAAATCAAATCATCTCATCAGCCTACACAGGAAATCTTCTATCCCCCTCCCCATCCCACCCCCACCACCAAAGGTAGGTCAAAAGGTCTTGCTGGGAATCACTGTTACCTGTTTTCTTCTTGACTTCCCTTCCGGTTGAGAGGGAAAAGCTCAGCCAGCCAGTAGAGGACTCGTAGACAAGCTGGTAAGGTGAGTTCACTCCCATGGCTGGGATGTTTGTGGAAGAATCTGGAGTGGAACAGATGGGATGCTGCTTTCAATTTTTTTAATTTTTTTAATCAAAAGTATAATAATGAAGTTTTTGTCCTAGTTGTATGGTAGATCAGATATTCTAAATTGCCCTGTTGTTACAAAACAACCAATTTCTGGAAGAAAAAGATTTTTTAATGCTGGAGAAGGCTCAGAGTAATTAAGAGAAATCTTTAAAGTTCTCTTCTACGGTGTTCTCCCAGTTCTCACGACTCTCCTGGTTCTGGCTCTGCTTGGCTCTGTCCTGCTACCCACCAACTGGCCCTCCCGATTTACCCCCTCCTCCTGGGTGCTGCCTCTCTCTACCTCGGCATCATTTCCACAAACTCCCCCTTTCAATACCTCACACTGTTCTCATGGCCAACCTCTCAATCTGGGCTCAGCAAAGCTGGAGGGATGGGAGGACAAAATGGAGAACGGAGAGGGGTGAAAGGATGATTCTTGGGGGTGGTCTCAGGAAGGAGCTGAGTTGCAAAGCGGACCCTTGGCTGCCACCTTTTCACGGAGCATTCTTGTAGACCTGTCTGGGGTGGGTGCAGTGGACGCATACACACATGCCCAGGCCGGACCCTTCCAGGCCCAGAAAAATGAGCCAGGATCCGGTGAGCCAGACTTCGCTGACTTACTGGACATGGACTCCAGCATGGCCTTCATCTTCAGGGTGAGGAGCTCGGTCAGCAGGTGGATAGACTGCCTCTGGAATCTGTGCAGGGTCTCCTGGCTGGATGGCCCCCGTTGGCCGTGGGTAGGAGAATGCGTGGAGAATTTGGCCGGCCCAGTGGAAGCGGGCAGCATCGGCAGCGGTAGCACTGGCAGGGGTGGCTTGTTCTGGACAGGGGCCTGCACAGGGGCCGGTTCCATAAGCACCACGGGCGGGGCTCCAATGCTGATCTCCAGGCCCAGGATCTCAGAAGGGGTAGGGATCATGGGGTCAGTGATCAGCTCCTCCCAGGTAAACTCAAAGATGTTTCTGATGCCCTTGGGTACAGAAATGCCTTCACTCTGGCAGACGATGAGCAGCCTGGAGATGCGGGCCAGCAGCTTGGGGTCCGTGGCAGTGTATTGCTGGTATAGTTCTCGGTTAGTCTTGATGTCATTCATGGTCCTAGAGCACACATACTACTAGGTAATACTGTCCATCTCAGACAAGAAGAACCTTCAGCTGTGAGGAGGCAGACACCCTGAGAGCTGAATGAGAGCCAAAGTTCTCACCTAAGGTGAGGCCTTGGGGACAGATGGAACGGAAGTGCTGAAATGGCCCTTACAGGTCATTGAGCCAGGGCATCCTATGCGGGAGGATAAATAATTGGTCACTCTCTCCCACAAAGGGATGCCCCCCTGTCACCTCACTTCCCTTCCTGGGGATGTATCAGAGACCACGTTAGTGAGTCACTTTGGGAGGGGCCTCGGGATGAGCAGGTTCCCCAAACAGACCCTGGGCTGGAGTAAGGAAAAGAATGGGGAAGGGAAAAATGTTCCATCGCACCTTTTGTAGTCAGAGATCTGAGGGTGGAAGATCTGCTTGTGGTCTCTCAATAAAAACCTGCAAAAACAAAAACATGTTTCATTGGTTCCTTCTGGGGGAAGGTGATGTGGATGGAAGCTCCTGGTTGCAACGCAAGGATGGGCCTGGATTCAACATGTACATCCAAGGGCGAATGGGAAAGGAGGAGGAGGATGAATTTTTTTAGTCCAACGACTAATATCGTTTACCACATCTCCTCAAATCTAGAACTTCTGACAACTCCTGCTACCGCAGCCTTCTAGTCATCAGTTCTACCACCTTCCATCCTGACAACCACTCCCCATGACGTCCATGGCCCTCTTCTCCTGCCAGACAATCCTCATTCTTTCACTCTTCAAACTGTGTCCTCTGGAGCCACCCCAAATTTGCCATTCCAGAACTGCGCCCCTGGTGCACACCCTCAGCATTTACAGTGCGGCTGCCCTGGTGTGAAAAGGCTATTATCTTTCCGGTTTCACTGATGAGGAATCGAAGGCTTATAGAGACAGAGCTCTTGGTCAGGAGTTGCCTGCCTGCAGACTCTTGGCATAGAGACCTTTCCAAAGACAACACGACTTCCTCACGGGCTTCCAACTGAACTGCCCATCCACCAGCAAAAAAATCTCCTAGGAACAAGAGTCCCACAGAGCAACCCCTTCAGACATTCTGCTGGTTTGCAGATAAACTGGCTTTCTACATGTATTTGCTGACTCCCTGGCATCTCTATTCCTCAGCTTTGGAGACTCAGAAAAATAGGTTCGTTTTTGAAATGATACGTCTACAGAACAAAGAGACCGCTCAGAATCTTGGTCATCTGGGCAACCAGCCAGAGGGATCTGACCCTGACCATGCAAGGCAGATCTGTTTTAAAGCCAGGATTCAAATGAAGGAAGACGAATACAATTCTTGAAATGTTAACTGGTTTGAGGAACCCCACCCCACCCCCTACCAGTTCCTTTCTTGTGAGGTTAATTTTGAAGATATGCCTTACAAACAGATAAAAGCTGGGTTTTAAAACAGCTTTATTGAGATGTAATTCACATACCATACAATTCACCCTTTTTAAAGTGTACAATGGTTTTTAGTATAGTCACAGTTGTGCAACCATCACCACTATCTAATTTTAGAACATTTTTATCACCCCCCAAAAAAACCCATTAGCACTCACTCTCCATTCCTCCTCCCCCCAGGCAACGACTAATCTGCTGTGTGCCTCTATAGATCTGCCTGTTCTGGACATTTCATATAAATGGAATCACACACTATGTGGTCTTTTGTGACTGGCTTCTTTTACCATCATGTTTTTGAGGTTCATCCAAGTTACAGCATGTATGAGTACTTCACTCATATACTTCATTATATGGAAAGACCACCATTTGTTGATCCATTCAGTATCGTTTGGACACTTCGGTTGTTTCCACTTTTTGGCTATTATGATGGAACATTCAGGTACAAGTTCTTCTGTGAATGGATGCTTTCATTCTCTTGGGTTGATACCCAGGAATGGAATTGCTGGGTCGTATGATAACTCAATGTTTAACATTTTCGGGAACTACCAGGCTGGTTTCCAAAGTAGCTGCACCATTCTACAGTTCTTTTTACAAAACCTGTAATGTATGAGGTTTTAAATTTCTCCATGTCCTTGTCAACACTTGTTATTATGTCTTTTTGATTTTAGTGCCATCCTAGAGGGTGTGAAGTGGTACCTCATTGTGTTTTTGATTTGCACTTCCCTAACGACTAATGATGTTGACCACCTTTTCACGTGTTTATTGGCCACTTTTCCACTTTTATATCTTCTTTGGAGAAAAGTCTTTTCAGATTGAACTGTTTTTTTTTAAAAGAAATGTCATTTTAAATTAAATGCACAAATAACCTCTATTTGTTGCCATGTATTTATCTCTGCAAAACTCAGCTAGAGGTGACCACGTGACTCCATTCTATGAGATGCAGGTGGAGCTGTTGGGTGGGATCCTGGGTATCTTTTCAAGAAGTCTGTCTGCATGGAGAGAACACTTTTTCTTTACTCACTGCCCTCCTCTTTCTTCTTGTCTGGAATACATGAGATGGCTGTAACTCTGGCAGCCATATGGAGCCATGAGGTTACCTTGAGGAGGGAAGCCATGCATGAAAGGTGGCCGAGCAGAGGCACAGAGCCTGGACTCCTGCTGACATTGTGGCACCCACACACCGGCACTTAACCACCTGCCTCCAAACTTGTTTCACCTGAGAGAATGAACCCCTCATCTCTTTAAGTCCCTTTATTCAGATCTCTGTTCCTGCAGCCAAATGTGATTCCTGACAGACAACCAGCCGTGTGGGAACAGCATCACTCCCTCCTTTCCGTATATCTAATTTTCATTGTCACTCATTCATTTTTCCATCACTGAGACCCAGGCCTTGCCCTCAAGTAGCTCAACGTTCAACAGGCAAAACAGACTTACAAAATTGATATAAGGGTCACACTGCCAAAAAAATATACAAAGGCCATGAAAACCCAAAGCCAAAAGTCTAAAGGAAGCTGCACTGAAGGCTGTCATAGAAGATGAATAAGAAGTCACCAGGCAGGTAGGAGGGAGAAGGCATTCTTGGTAAAAAGAAGAGTATGTGCAAAGAACAGAGACATTTAAAGCATGGCAGGTTCAGGGAACCACAAAACACATCAGTATGGCTGGGGCCTTGGGGCTCTATGGGAAAGTACCAGACAAAGCTACAAATCGTGAAGGGCCTTGTATGCCATGCCAAAGATTTTGCATGCTATGTAATCATATACTCAGTGAAAGTACTCAATGTATTGTCTTTAATTGCTAGTTGCATCTCATGTGGTCTCTGCAAACAGAGGGCAAGCATCACGTCTTCTCCCCCTTTTACAGCCTCCACGACACTAAGACACCAAGTAAGCTGCCACATGCCAGAAAGTGAAAAATGCTTATAGCATGAAAATCCGACAGATAGCCCAATAGGCCCATGTAGATGGCTATAAACAAAGTTTCAATTAACAATTCCCACAAAGAAATAAAAAGAGCATGGAAGGAGTTTATAAAGGATATGAAAAATGACGACCCTCATTCCAACATCTTCAAAGTTTTGCGAGCTGTCTCCTCTTGGGGGCAGGACAGAGATGAGGGGAGGAGTGCACACGCACACAGGCTACTATGCCAAGTCTGAGTGCTCTCTGCCAGGCAGAGGGAAATCCAGAAAAGGCAGTGTCACCGGGCGGCTAAGAACTCAGGCCATGTGACCTCGAGCCTCGCACTTGTGGACACTAGGCCCTGCCTCCCAGGACTGTGAGGACTAAATGAGGGCATATGTGTTAAGGATTGGCACAATGCCTGAAAGAGGTAAGTGCTCAAGGAATGCTAAGCAGAAAAAGATAATCATTTGAAGTGGCTGAAGAAGGCTGTGCAATGGAAATGTCAGAAACTGGTTCAGAAGTAGGTGACTAGTGAACAAGGACAGGAAGAGCACTCCAGGTGATGAGAGCAGCGCTTGCTCAGGTTGGAGGCTCTAAATTGCCTGGCAAGTTTGGGAACTGCAAGTAACTTGAGGATGCTACAGGTTACTTGGGGGGGGCGGGGGGATGTGTAGGAGGGGTGGGCAGCAGCCTGCTGAGAGGAGCTGGTGTAAACCGCTGAACACTGACTTCATCTTGCAGATGGGAAACCACAGGACTGCTAGCAGAGGTGGCATCTATATTGTAGGGCGCTCCTCCCACGGGCCAGCAGTGTGTTGGGAAGGAGTGTGAGAAATACGACTGCAGTGGGATTAGCCAAGGAGGAGAGCTGTACCCACAGCACCCCAATTTCTGCCTACAGTAAAAAAGCAATTTCCAGCCTATGCACCTGAAAGAGTACTTCAAAAGGCACAGACCCAGCAAACTCCCAGGGGTACACTGTGGGGCGCAAGCAGAACAAGGGTGAAAAGTGGGAAATTTCTAAACAGGCTTTGGGAAAATCAAGGGCACCCAACGAAGAAGGAAGCTGAGGGGGAAATTCAGGCATGGCTTTGAAAAAGAGAAAAGGGCATGCTTCCTTCTCGTACTGGCACTGATTCAAGAATCCGTTTTTGGGTAGAAGTTGTATCCAGCTGTATATTTAAAACCAAAATTAAACTGTGCTCCCTCAAGTAATCTGGTCCTGATTTTCTTTGCTATTTTCTCTAGTCTCCGGCTCTCTCTGGTTTTAACCAAAACGCTTTTGGTAAGGACAGTGAGCAGGCCAGATGTAACCGTGTGACTGCCATCTGTGAGTAAGCGCAGCTTCAGGCTGGGACAGGCAAGAGAACAAGCCCACACCTGATGCATGAAAGAGGTGGAAATGGAATTAGAAAACTAATAGACGCTGTCCTCTCCATTCAATATATAAAGAACGTTCTGGACAGCTTGAATTCTCTAGCAGATGAGAGGAAGAAGGGCTGAGCTATGGAGAGGAGTGGATCTGAGAGGAAGGAGAGGGGGGTCATGTGCATACGATCAAGCTTAACTGCCTGCTGCCCAGCAAGGTTTGCTCTCGAGACTGCAACCTCAGTCACCGCTCTTCCTCGAGTTGAATCCACTTGCAAACCACCTGCATCCTCCACCAGGGGGATCCACTGTGGCACCAAAGGGCCATTAAGATGAGTCTCCCGGCAAGACTCATGGAGAGACAAAAAATGATCAACGCTTTGACCCAGTGATTTTAGTTCTGAAAGTAATGCCCAAGGGAACAGTTTTAAAAGGAGAAGGGAAGATAGTTCTTCAAATGTGGTCAAACCAAACAAAAAGATGCTTATAGCCACTTCATTCCTAACAGTGAAATAACGTAGCCAGCCAACAACTGAGGAACTGTTTGACAACAATGCAGATTAATATGAAGTATTAGGCAGCAAAAAAATAACTTGCACTCAGTTTTGAGAAATGTTAAATTAAAAAAAACCACACAAATGGTAGGTCTACATTGATTACACATCCCATAAACACCTATGCTGATCATAATTGGAAGCAGAGATACAAAGTCTTTCAGTTTTAAGGTAAAGATGACACTTTAGGAAAGAAGACAACAAACAAGGGCCCCTGAAAAGAAAGCAGCATGTTCTCAGACAGGCTTGTGACCTGGGAGACCTGGGCTGGGAGCAGGGCCCATTCTTGTATTTCCTGGTTTCCATATCAACCCTGAAAAACCGAGACTGTCTGTGCAGAGGAGTGGTGTGGGGACTGAAAGGTCAAGAGCTACACCCGTGTTCAAGCTCAGGGAAGCTTACTTGCTGATAATGACCAAATAGAAACAGAACACATCGTACCCCAGGGAAGGTTTTTACAACGGAGCAAAACCACCACCTAGCAGGTGAGCTTAGAGTTAGAGAGAACATGGCAGTTAGAAATGTAGCAGGGAAAGATGCTGTTTAAATGGAGGGTAGAAAACAAGTAATATTTGTGACCACTCCCATCACTGGACAGACGTACATTTACTGGGCATGGTTACACGAACAGCTGGGATTTACCGAGAAACAGTAACAGAAGATCAATACTCAGCCTGGGTGACAGGTTTTCACTAAAACACCCTGATTCTTTCGATTGTTCTGGTTTTCCCATCTTCCTAGACAATGATCTACACCATCCCACCGTTCTCCCCACTCTGACCCGCCCCCCCCACATGCTCTGAACGTTAAGCCAATGTCCGGGTCCACACCAGCAAATGCCTCACCACCTACCAGCCAGCAGGGCAGGTGCCAGGACCACGGGAGTTTCATTTTCTCTCATGGTTTTCAGGAGGTTAACAAATTCTTTTCAATTATCACGACTAACCTTAGCCATATAGTTTTTTACAGGAACTGCCTGACGTATAACTGACTTAGTTCAATTCACTGGCTGAAAAAAAATTAAACACATATGGCGTGGCTATTCTGTGTTGTATTAACTGTAAAGACCAGTACCCACGTCCATTCCAAATTCTAAATTCTACTGCCTCATCTGCGTGTCACAAAAAGGTCAGCTGATAGCCATCTCCCAGGCTGCACTATGGCTTTAAGAGGAAATAAATTATCCCACAAGTCTTCAGCAAATGCACCGCTAAACATAGCAGGAATCTCATGTATATGGATTTAAAGTTTCTCCTTTGGGAATTTTGCAAGCAAACAAAATGATTTATTTAGCCAATTCAAACGAACTGTATCAAAACACACAAAGGCCTGGAGAAAAGATTACAATGAAAACAAATAATTCAAAGCAATTTCTGATCCAAAACATTTCGCTTAGCTCCACAATGCCACGAATGAGGTGTGGTCATGCTTTCCGATAGAAGATTTCAGCACTGCTGGCTCCCAAGTCAAACAAGCCATAGGAGTAGCGTGAATGCTTAATATATGCTTGGAAGAGATGTGTTTGCCAATCCTTTAGTTACTAACAGGAGAGTTATGTACAGTCAGACCACAAAACATGTAAAAACAGATCATTTAGAGTTGTGCTGTGCATTCAGCAGCACTAGACTTGTGTCTTTTGAGCATCTGAAATGTGGTGTAATATGACTAAGGAACTACATTAAATTTAAAACTTGATAATCAATTCAGTTATTGGCAAACTCTTAAATGTTTTCAGTATGTTTGGATGAACCTGGGTATGTGAATCTAATTTCAAATATTTTATGAAATCTAAATACAGATCAAGTATTCCTGATGAAAATTTAGCATCTGAATTAACATGGGCTGTAAGTGGATACACAGTAGATTTTGAAGACTTGGTGTGAAAAGAAATGCAAAATATCCCATTAATCATTTTGTATATTGATTAAATGTTGAAATATTTTGGATATACTGGATTCAATAGTTGACCCTTGAACAACATGGGTTTGAACTGTGAGGGTCCACTTATGCGCGTATCTTTCAATACTACTACAGCACTACAGGATCCACAGTTGGTTGAAACCACAGATACAGAACTGTGGGTACAGAGGGCCGCCTGTGGAACTTGAGCATCCACGGATTTTGGTTTCCATGGCAGGTCCTGGCACATACAGAGGGATGACTGTATACCACAAAATTAATTTCACTTTTTAAATGTGGTTCCTAGAAAACTGAAACTGACACACCCGGCTTACACCTCATTTCTACTGGGCAGTGCTACCAGAGCACAGGTCTGCAGCCTAAGAACTCCAGTGCCATCTGCTGGACACACTCCTACAAAACAGGCCCACAAGAAACACTAAAACTGGAATTGTGTTAACGCTGAAGGACCCTGAGTCTGAAATGGAAGAGGATAAAACTGGGCTCATAAAACACTCAACATATGCTGTTAAAACGAGATTAGAAAAAGGCTTATACAGTCTTTGAAATCCTAGAGAATATCCAACTTACAGTTATTAGTCGACAGTGACCCTGAGCCAACATGCACAGACTGCTCTGCCGTCCAACGTGGGTGCCGTCCAACGTGGGTGCAAGGACAAAAGGTTATTTGGGGGCCCCTTCCGTGACCATTGTCTCCTATACTCATGCGCTTGTTGCCGCCTGCCTAGTCTTCCCATCCCTTCTCTACACTATGCCTCTCGAGACCTTCTGCTCTACCTTATAAACACCACCTCTTCCCATCTTTCTCGTCTATTATTCACCTTCTCTTCTATTTTTCCTTATGATTCTAGGATATCTAATAATTGTTTTTTCCTTTTAGTATTCCAATTTTTCTTTTTGTCTCCTCTCCTTTTGTCCTACAAGCTGTTTCAGTTGGTTTTACACTTTTACATTTAAGCCTTTGGTCCATTTTGAGGTGCTTTTGTTTTTTATGTGGTGAGACGTATGGGTCCAAGTCCATTGTTTTGCATGTGGCGAGTCAGCTGTCTCAGAACCATCTGTAGAAGACTGTTCTTTCCCTACTGGATGATTTTGGCACCGTCAAAAAATTAAGTGACCATAGATGTATGGGTTTATTTCTGGACTCTCAACTCTGTTTCAGTGATTTATCAATGTCAGTACCACATTGTTTTTTTATAAATTTATTTATTTATATATTTTTGGCTGCGTTAGATCTTCATTGCTGCACGCAGGCTTTCTCTAGTTGTGGTGTGCAGGCTTCTCATTGTGGTGGCTTCTCTTGTTGCAGAGCATGCGCTCTAGGGGCCCGGGCTCTGGAGTGCAGACTCAGTAGTTGTGGTGCATGGGCTTAGTTGCTCCGCGGCATGTGGGATCTTCCCGGATCAGGGCTCGAACCCATGTCCCCTGCATTGGCAGGCAGATTCTTAACCACTGTACCACCAGGGAAGTCCAGGACCACATTGTTTTGATCCCTGTAGCTTTGTAGTAAGTCTTGAAATCAGGAAGTGAGTCCCCCAACTTCGTTCTTATTCAAAATTGTTTTGAATATTTGATATTCTGGGTCCCTTACAATTCCGTATGAATTTTAGGATGAGTTTGTCAATTTCTGCAGAAAAAGGCAGCTGGGCCAGTTGGTTTTCATTTTTGTTAGGAGAGATATTTGCCTGATCAGGCTGACAAAATGACCATTTAATAGGTCTCGCAACTCCACCCTTGATCTGGACTTCAGAGGTTAAGTTTGCAAGAATCTGGAATTTTGTCTATTACTGCTCAATACTGGGGCAGAAGACTAAGAGCAGAGGGTGCTGAAGAAAACATGAGTCTGAAGCAAACATGCACCTAAACAATCTGCCACTTAGATATCAGGTGACGAATCACGGACCCTCTCTGTGCTCCAGCTTGCAATCCATAATGAGAACGGGGGTGCTCCCATCAACACCACTGTGCTGTGGGAACAGAGACCACAGGCTCCAGCAGGTGCTTCGAGGACTTGCTCTAACACCTTCTTACAAGACTCACTGGCCTGGGAGGCAGCTGTAACAGCCCTGTGGACCTGGTGGTCAACTTCTACTGCTCGTCTGCAGCTGTGAAGAGGACATTGAGGTGTAGTAGGTAGAGGACGGGAATGGTACTCAGGCACAGGAAGTCCTTCTGGAGTTCTGCTCACCCACTTGTTAGTAAAGACAAAAGGACCTTGCTGTCCCTCACTCCAGCGCAAGTCCATCCTACCCAGGCTGAGATGACTCAGCTCCCAAGAGAGATCAGGGCCCAGAGCGGGAGAACCAGGGAGGCAGGCGGAGATGAAAATCCAACCCTGGTGGCTAAGGAGCACAGCTCTTACCATGCCCAGCAACCTCCACATGTGCCCATCACTCAATACACACTTAATGAACGCCCACTAAGCGTGGCTGTGATAATCGCCACTCAAAAAGGAGTGATATTAAGAGCAAGTGACATCAATGTCTACCTTTCTGGACTGTGAAGTCCTCCCTGGTCTTCTTGATCATTTCAAATGATATGCTTAATTCTCCATTAGTGTCAGGGTCCTCCTGGAGACTAGACCACTTTGCCTCCCAGTGTACCCTCATGTGCCATCATTTGACAGGCTAAAATTCTTCCTGACAGATGTTCCACCAAATGACCTGGAAGCTGAATGCTTGGAACAAAGACATCTACAAGCTAGTACTGGCAAAAGGAAAGGAGTGGAACCCTTAAATCTGAATAAGTCCTGGGAGTGGGTATGAAGCAGACAGGATTGCAAACACCTTAGTATCAAGTATTACAGAGTATGTTTACTCTACCTCAGCTCACATGTAAATCCAGATGAACTGGTATCTCCATACCAATGAGAATGAAATGAACAGCTAAGTGGCCAGAGTTCCCACAGTACCATTCACTTTCTTCCTTGCTGACAAATACAGCCTGAAGTCTGGATCTTCAGGGAAAAGACAGGAAGAGAAAGTTACAGTTCAGTCCCTAAAGTTAAGTTATTTTCTCTGCTCTGGGAGAGGAAGGCACCATCAACAGTACAGACCCAAGTTATAGTGTTTTTAAGTTCATGTCACTTGTTTATAGTATGAAATCATATCATCCAGAGTTTCAAAAGTGACCGCCTGGGCTTGTGGTGGGCCGCTGGGGGCTGGAGTGGATGATGTATGTGAAGAGCTGGGGTCAGGGCTCTGGCCAGAGTGCTGCCCCGGGTCACTCTGTGCAGGTGCAGGTCTGTTCCATGCCTGGCTACTCAGAGAACCAGTTCTTTTTTGGTCCACAAAGTAATTCGATGGTGGGGCAAACTCAGGGTCTCTCTCAGCCCGGAGATCTGATTGCCTCTTCAACCAATACCCAAAGGAAAAGTCTAGTAAAAATAAGAAAGAGTATTATTAGAACTGATGATTGAATCATTGAATGTTTATTGTTATTACTTTTTAATTATTGTATATATTTCTTAAAAGCCACCTTAAATTCTCTGGAGAACAAGGACAGTAATAACAGAACTATAATACAAGGCATATGCGATGCCTACAAAGGATAAGGAACCAGGCTAAGAAAAAGGAGTGAGAACTTCCATGTGGAGAAAGGTTCAAGGAAGGTTCTGTGGAAAAAGAAGGCTGGCAGGCTCTAGAGACAATGCCAAAAAAGTACTAAAATTACATGTGAGAGACAAACATAAAAAATCAAGCACTTAAATCATTTGCTTGACATGATGTTATAGGTACTTCATAGCAAAACACAAGTTTTGTCTTTTATTGAGTTTTAGAAGACACAAAAGGCACCTGTCCAGATCTATCTTGGTATTCCATCTCTATTTCTAACAGTAGCACTAACCAAAGGCACTCACCCATCTGCATATCTTTTACTTTAGTCGTGGATCTCATCAGTTCCAACAATTCACGCTAATGTACCACTGAAATGATCTTTTTCAAAAAGACATAAACCAGAATCTTCTCCCAAAGAGAGGCTGCTGTAGGGACCGTGGTGTATTTACAGAAAAAATTTACAGACAATTCTGCATAACCCAATGGAACCATATGTAAATCCGAGTTAATACACTGGGACACAGACTGTTTTCAACTGAACATAAAAGAGACTGCTAAAAACACGGAATACATTAAAGTACCAAACCTTCATAAGGTTTTAAAAACTGGTTCCTGAAAAACAGCATCCCAGGGGCTTCCCTGGTGGCGCAGTGGTTAAGAATCCACCTGCCAATGCAGGGGACACAGGTTCGAGCCCTGGTCCAGGAAGATCCCACATGCCGCGAAGCAACTAAGCCCATGCGCCACAACTACTGAGCCTGCACTCTAAATCCTGCGAGCCACAACTACTGAGCCCACGCACCACAACTACTGAAGCCCGCGTGCCTAGAGCCCATGCTCCACAACAAGAGAAGCCACTTCAATGAGAAGCCCATACACCGCAATGAAGAGTATCCCCACTCACTGCAACTTGAGAGAGCCGCGCAGCAATGAAGACCCAAAGCAGCCAAAAATTAAAAACAAAAAACAAAAAAAACCAGCATCCCAAAGCTGTAAGACCACATGGGGGCCGCGGGAATTTCAGAAACCTTCCCCCAAGTGCTTCTCAAAAAAAAAAAAAGAAACTCATCCTTTAGGCATGATGCCCTGTAGACCCTGGTCTTTTATAATCACACTGTCTAATGCTCCTGGGTATTGAGAAGAAACAAGTTCAACGATGTGGAGAATTCCTTAAGCTTCCAAGGACCAGTAAGACTCACCAGAATCACACTCTGTTCAGGAGAACTGACCCCCTTACCTTTTCCTCTGTCCCACTCCCGGATGTGTGGCACCCCAGGCCGGGTATCCTTCCTCTCCTGAACGATGACTTCGACTTTGCTACTCTGGACAGCTGTATGAGGAGCTGGCATGGCCTCTGGTTCTGGTGGCAATGGCCCAATAACATCTCCATCTATTTTTGGCAATGGAATAAGACTTCATTATAATAAAGCTTAAAACTACTTTTAAAAATTAAATAGAACATGCTCATCCTGAGAGTACAAACAATAACTGGTATTTATTGAGCATCTATCATGTGCCAGGCAGTGGGCTAAGTATTTTGTATACAATAGTTCACTTAACCCTGTAATAACCCTAATAAAGTCAGGACTGGTATTCCCACTTTATACCCATTCTATACCCGTACAGGGCAGAGCTACTACCTGCCCTGGACACCCACCACCTCTGAGGTGTTAAACTAGAGAAGCAGACGTCCACCTGGTTTGAGCCAGTCTCTGCAGTGTCTCTGTTGGGGAGTTTATCCCAGTCTAGCATAACTCTCACAGTGAGCAAGTCTGACCACAGTACTGAACGGTGCTCCCAGCATTTCAACAGTCCCTTGGTAAGCTGTCTATACCCATATTTGTAAATCCTTTATTTTATTACTTTCTGAATGCATGTCTTCTTTAAAATACATTACTTTATAATAATCAACAAAAACTGCAGCCATAGCAAATGAAAATAGGTCTAAAACATGTACGTGCACAACTAAATTTTATCCTAAAATACCTTTTAAGTATTTTACTTAGGTATTTTACTCCTAAGTCTCAGTTACTAAACCATGCTGTTCTATGAAACAACACAATGTACTGCTAATACCCTTGTCTACAGCCTGAAATTTTCTTTGGAGTGTAATTCCACGCCACTTTGGTTATAAAAACTGTTCCTGGCAGTATCTCCAAGGTGCACTGCTTGCTTAGAGAATAAAACTAGATGGCTGATTTCCACATTGCCAGTCCTATTATTGAGACATCAACTGAACTAAAATTTTTCCTTTTGTGGTTTAGAAACACGAGCCAAGATATACCTCTAACTTCTTCCTCTGCTCCATCCTCTTTAGATGTTTTCATCTTTTTTTGTCGGAGTTTGGCAAGTCTTGCTTCTAACATAGCCTTTCTCTTTTCCTTTATATTTTCTCGTTTTGTTCTCTGATCTGTTGTCTGAACAGAACAGAAAATTAGAAAATTAGCGTATTCACAATATTTCTGTTGAAAAGGATGAAATAATTAATTTTATTCTAAAAATAGACTAATTGATTTTCATGCCACCTCTAAGAAGCCATCCTTGAGATCTTCAACATGAAGACCCGTTAAGTCCTCTTACACAAGCCCTCTGATGTCTTCTGAAGTTTAGTACGAGTTCAGAGTATCCTGGAAGGCTTACCATTCAAGAAAATTCTGTCCTACTCCTTAACCACCCTCTAATAACTTTCTATTTTCTCACCCAGGCCGCTCCAAAAGTGCCATATTTGAAACCAAGTTTAAAACATCAAAGTTATACAAGTTACTTTTGAACAACTATAATCTTAAAGTCTGAAACACCAAAATAATATCGCAATTACCTTTATGAAACCGATAATTGCATTCTGAATAGCAATGTAAATTTCTAATTAATTTACTAGATTGTTTTGCAGTACGGTACAACAAGAAACCCCACCGCTCAAATCCTTAACATCAATTGAGTTTAATTTGTACCTGCTCACGCAGCATTTCTAAAGTTTTCATCTGCTTGTTTCTCAACTCTTTATCTCGGGCAAAGGCAAAGTATCCAACACCAAGTTGCCGGGCCTCTGAAATAAGTCAAAATTATCCAAAAGGTTACATTTCCCTGATCAGTGAATTAAATTCAGACCAAATTCCTACCAAAGCAAAAAGTAACACAATGATGTCTCACACATTTTGTTTTGTTTTTTCTAAGAAGCAGCTAAAACAAAAGTTAGAAGTTGTTTCCATCCTGTTTGCCAAGTGACAAATATTCATTAACGTTTTAGTCATAGGCTGTCTCCACTTCTCTTGGGGAGCAAACTCGGATTAACAGATCCCCTGTTAGGAAGATACTCCCAACATGAATATTTTTAGGCTATGAAGTGAAAAAAGGGGTATTTTCAATTCCGAAAGCAGAATCTTTTATTTCCACATAAGAGCTGCTGCTTCACGAATACTTCCTTTTATGCTTGTCATTTGTTCAAGATAAAAAAATGATTTAAAAAAGCTGCCAGATGGGGGCTTCCCTGGTGGCGCAGTGCTAAGAATCCGCCTGCCAATGAAGGGAACACAGGTTCGAGTCCTGGTCTGGGAAGATCCCACATGCCGCGGAGCAACTAAGCCCGTGTACCACAACTACTGAGCCCATACGCCTAGAGCCCGTGCTCTGCAACAAGAGAAGCCACCACAATGAGAAGCCCGTGCACCACAACGAAGAGTGGCGCCCGCTCGCCGCAATTAGAGAAAGCCCGTGCACAGCAACAAAGACCCAATGGGGCCAAAAATAAATAAATTTAAAAAAAAAAAGCTGCCAGATGACTATACCATTTTCACGAATGTCTTCATAATGTACGGGCCCCATTGGTCTTCTCAGGGACTCCCTCTCTTCTTCCTCCCATTGCTGGCGCTGGAGTTCTTTTCTCATATCTTCAGATAGTAAGGTTTTTTCATTTGCAGGACTAACGAAACTAGGAAAATCGAGCAAAAACCATCTTAGATAAGAGTTGTGACACAGCAATGCTTCAGTTCAGGAGCGCGATCACGGATGAGTAACTCTAGTTATGAAGAAGACAGTTCCTTACAGAGGCTTCTGACCCACAATACCACTGGGAACCTGCAAAAACTATTTTCACCTTTCTTTAATCAAAGCAAGCAACATGTTACATTAGCATAATGAAATCTTGCCTCACCACTCAGACAAATTACTTTCCTTCCCACCCTGGTCTTGGGCTGAATGGAGGGGGCAGGAGAGGCAGAGAGGAGGAACTATGGGCCTCCTGTGGACGGTCTCCCGTGCAGGACCTCATGTCCTGTCAGGTGGCTCAGGGCTTCTGCACTTTCTTCCCTGTGCCAAGCCCAGGCCTACCTGAACCTGGATGATGTGGACAAGGTGGAGCTTCTCCCAACACTTTCCACACAACAGCTGCCCTTGGTTAGAATTTTATTCCCTGGGATGTTTTAGCAAGTTACCTCTTGGGTGTGTCTTAGGCACCGCAGAAAAAATTCTAGCCATAAAGCCCTTACTTCAAAATGCAAAGGTGTATAAACAAAAAGTTAAGCTAACTGCCTCCCTGCCCCCACCTGCTGTGGGATAACCAAGAGTATATTCTTAAACACTTTCTCCGCAGTGGTTTGTTTGTTGGCTTGGTCTGGGCTCATTCTCTATTTGTTACTCTGTAGGCAGACATCCTTCCAAGTAAACAGATAGGCTCTAACTCATCCCTTTTAGTAGCTACACAATCTGGATGATCAACCACTCAGGTTGTTCCCTGAGTGTGGACTATGTGTGTATGTGTATGCTAACCCCAAAAAATTGCTTCCACTAATATTCTTATACATTAAAAAAATACTCTTACAGCAGAGCACCAAAGAAAATAAACTAAAAACAGCCTTGCACACAAAACAATCCCCGTGTCTGCATGTCATGGGCAAAGCTTTGCATGTCACACACTTACAGCCTCCCCTGAAGATTTTTATCCATTTCCAGCAGATGTGGCAAATCCTTTCTCATACAGCGCCGGGATCGCCCTAAAGAATCCACATAATCCACCCTGAAATAAAAGTGAAAAGATGTGGAAAATTGTACATGACATATGGTTCCGTAAGTTAGGAAGTTGGTGCACAGTAAAAAGTTAATTTAGGCCCCATCACCAAGAAAAACCCTCAACCTGAGAGACCACTACCATTGCTAAGAACATGTTTTTCAAAGTTAAAAGTTGACACACAGTAAGTTCATTGAGCCCTTTATTAAATCTTAGTTTTAGAAACTGTAGAAAATGATCATGTACATCTCTGACCTCAAGACAAATACGCCACAAAGACCCCTGCTGCAGCATCTCAGAACTTACTTTAATTTGGTTTAAACAATTCCAAATATTTTATCAGCATCATAATAACTTTGCTCCGTACCATATTCTCAACTTGCTCACTTCCTTACAGTCTTCCCAAATTTGACTTTTTATTCTTTCCTGTATTTCTTCAAATTGGTACAATTCTTCCCAATGAATTAGAACTTTCTTAATATAAGTATTTTGAGAGACTCTTTTTGACTAGGAGGAAGCCAAGCAACACACATTTTATACCAAAGAAGCACCTCAGCAGTGGGCCAGTCTGTTATCTTTCACCCCTGTTCCTCTTTCCTCATCCTGGCCCCAAGTACCTTTGTCCAGGTATGAGGCAGGGGAGCCAGGCAGCCAGCAAGGCCAGTGAAATACTGAGACTCCCCCATACAGGAAAAGGGCAGGTTTTCATGAGTAACATTTCATTTGCATTATGATGCAAAACATTTTTAATTTTTTAAATTATGGGCAAGGACTCCCTCACAGCCTTTGGCAGGAGGCTGAAGAAAGCACAGAAGGGCCAGCACTGCTGCTGGACCAACTCAAGGTCAGATTTCCATGCATGTGGCTTTGCTTTTGTTAGCCTTTTCTTTTGTCTCACACCTGCCGATTCCAACTGTCAGCCTATGATTTAAAAACTGAATGTTTGGGAATCCAGAACTATAGTCCTAAAGCTGATGACCACAGAAATAAAACCTCCAACAGCAGAGAGCAGGTTCTTTCTCCCTTTTCTTCTTTTCCTTTTTTCTTCTTCTATGAATGGAGAACAAAAAACATTGAGCCAGATGGTCTGAGTAGTTATTTACAGTATTTTTGTGGAAAGATTTTCCACCACCTGGAACTTAACTACTTAAAGGATTTTACAAGCAGTTACAATTCTGGAACCTAATTTAAAAACAAAAAAAGTGTCAGAACTGCTTGCAGTGCATCTTCCTTCACCATATGGTGGCATGTGACACCTTCAATTGCCCTCCAAACTCTTCAAATCAGTAACAAATTGATTGTAATCATACAGGCATTAATATGAGGGGGAAAAAAAAGACATTAAACCTTTCAAAGGAGATGAGATTTCTCCTATGAAAAGCAATCACAGGCCATTCTGTCTCTGGAGAAGGCCTCCAAAACATTCAGATCCCATCAAAAAGAAGTGGCAGAACAGCAGCCAGCAACTGCCCCACGTAATCAGCAATCACTGAGCAAGCTCTCAGAGAAACAATTACTCGAGGTACAAGGGGGGACACAGGAGGGCTCGGAGTCATACCCTCTTCACAGGGCTCTAGGGGGAAGTTAGGGCACACGCTCATGAAACACTCCTAACAGGAGCAGGCAGGGTGTAAAAAGTACCAGAAGTTTGCCTCAATCTTCTTCTGGTAATGAGGCCAGTTATGTGTCAATATAAATAAAAGGTAAGACCCAAAGGAGCAGAAAGTATGTTTAAGTGCTACCAGAGTTGAGATGAGGGAGAAACCACTTAGACTAGAAATGATGAAGAGAAGCATGACAGAAGGGATGGCATCATACAGGCTCCTCTTCTGGTTGCTATAGCAAGTGTGTGGCCACTTAGCCCACCCCAAATATAAGTGTTTTAGAAGGTAGGTAAGAAGACCCCTCCACAGCATGAAGGTGCACGTTCTCTGTGTTCCCAAGCAGTGAAGACTGCTCTCCTCACTCATAAATGACTCCTGCCCACAGGGGCAATGGCTGACAAGAGGTCAATGAGTGCTGCCAACAATCCTAAGCCGTTCGTAACAAACGCCCCCATAAAGAGGACATTTGAGCCTTGAAGTGGGGGAGCGGTGGGCTCTGCACCAGCAGGAGGGGAACAGGCAGGGTTGCTCCCAGGACACAGCATCAGTGCATCTCCATGCAATTTCAAGCCCTTTTGAACAAGTTTCTAAACAATGTCTTAGGTACAAAAAATCATAATGGAATTTTCATTCTGGTCTCTTTGTAAAGAAAAGACTAGTTTAGTTTCCCCATCATTCACCTACTAGGCATCACCATCCCTGTTCTACAGATGAGGAAACTGAAGCTTAGAGAGGGTAGGAACTTGATCACAACCATATCACAAGTGAAAGGCAGAGCTACTGCTGTCCAGATCCAGGTCATGACGCCTAGACCACACTGCCAGAAAATGTCACAGCCAGAGTAAGGCTCACTGGATCAGCTCTGCCAGCCTCTTTTCACTGGAAATAGAGATAACACTATCTACGTGATGACTCTCCATGATGCCCGAATAAGGACATGGGTAAGGTAGCATGGGTAACAAAGGAACATTCTTCTGCCTAAACAACTTTTTCACATCAATGAAACAGGCCTATCAATGCCTCCGTACCTGGCACAGTGCCTGGCACATGGCAGGAGTTCAGTCTATTTGTAATTGTTTCCTTATTGGAGCTACTCCTTCTATACCTATAAATCCAATCCTATTTAAAGTGGAGTCTCTAAAGAAAGAAAACTGATTAAGAACAGAGAGAAAGGGACTCCCTTGGTGGCACAATGGTTAAGAATCCACCTGCCAATGCAGGGGGCATAGGTTTGAGCCGTGGTCCGGGAAGCTCCCACACGCCACGGAGCAAATAAGCCCGTGTGCCACAGCTACTGAGCCTGTGCTCTAGAGCCCGCGAGCCGCAACTACTAAGCCCGCATGCCTAGAGCCCGCGCACCGCAACGAAGAGCAGCCCCTGCTCACTGCAACTAGAGGAAGCCCACGCACAGCAATGAAGACCCAATGCAGCCAAAAAAAGAAAAAAAGAGAGAGAGACTGGGACTTCCCTGGTGGTCCAGTGGGTAAGACTCAGCACTCCCAATGCAGGGGGCCCATGTTCAATCCCTGGTCAGGGAACTAAATCCCTCGTGCATGCCGCAACTAAGAGTTCACATGCTGCAACTAAGAAGTCTGCACGCCACAACTAAAGAGCCTGCATGCCTCAACAAAGAGCCCACATGCCACAACTAAGACCCAGCACAGCAAAAATAAATAAATAGTAAATAAATAAATATTTAAGGATAGAAAGAAATGGCTTGATATCAACCAAACAACATAACTCTCAAAAACTAAACGCAAGTTTGACAATGTTAACATGACCAAATGGCATAATATCACCAACCATTCTTCACTGGGATCCTGGGGAGGAGGGATATCTTTTTCAGAAACGGTTTCTTCATCATCATCTCTTTCTGTCTTTCTATAATCTCTATTGGCACCAAGCTCTTCCATTTCTTTGCGTTTGTCTATGATCTTCTGTGTGAAATCCACAAGGTACATATCCTCCACTTCTTCATCTAGGACATAAAAAACAATTTTCAGACTCTTGACATCAAAGAAGAAGACCACACGTGGAATTGACATGAAGCAGTCACATTCAACACTAGGCGGCTATATTACCCGACAATTCAGTAGTTGATGTCTCCAACCACCCCCTAAATGCTCACAAAGACACAGAGCCACCTCGAGGCTGACAGGGAAGCTGTAAATAGACCACTGGACACATATACCACATAAAAAAATCTTTAAAAGCCTAATGTTTTCTGCTGCCTTGTCAATAACAAAAGGCTTTAAGATAACAAAACCACTTGATTTCAAGAGACTCATATAGCCAATTACATAATACAGAAGCAGAACTGTATTTCTCAGTAGTCTTTGTGGCTATCAGTAATACTCCTCTCTAATCATGTGGGCCATATCCCATAACCCTAATTATACTGCTACAGTATGGCAAATGTTTGAAGGGTCATAACACAGGTAAAAGAAGTCATCTGAATTCTTTTCAATCCAAAGAACACTATTTTCAGGTAAGGCACGGTGCCAGGATCTGCAGGGCATACAGAGATGTGTAAAGTGCCATCTGCCTGCAGGCTTCATGATCTACTTGAGCTAAAACATACACTGAAAGTTAAACAGCAATCCATGATTTAATTTAACACAGTATAGTGGGTGTATTCACAATGTTTCATGAAGTTTCACTCTGCTAGATTTAAGCTCTAAGGAACAGATAGTAGGTTTCCTACTACCAGGGGCTGGTGTTGCCCTCACTGTACAGTGGAGAAGAGCTGAGGCTCCAAAACTTGACTAGCCCAAACATGCTGGTCCAATATGCCTATCAGGAGGTGGGCCTGCCGGTATGGACAGAACCAAATCTCCACGTCTACACACTCCTTTGGACTTGATTTCTATATTAACAATATAAGTAAAGTTTGAATCAAATGAAAAAAGACTTTTTTTTTTTAAGCCACAAAAACATGTAACTCAAATGGGAAAGAGATACGCGTTCCCAGAACTGAGGTGTAAGACCATGTAACAGTGAGGCCTCCTGCTGACTGATACCCTGCTGCTTCTTTAGGAGGAAGGCAAAACCTCTCCCAGGGCCCCTCAGCTTTGCGCGCACCCAACCTGCCCAGGCTGGGCTCCCCACCACACAGGGAACAGGCCTCTGCTGTCTGGGCCGCCCATGACCAGGGTCCCGCCCCGCTGCCCTCCTGCTGCCCCACTACCCCCTCTCCCTGCCCCTCTGACCCAGCCCTGCTAGTCGGCCCTGCCAGCTCTGGCCCTCTCCTCCCTCCGATCTGCTCTCTCCATTCTCCCCCTGCAGAATCCCTTTCTCGAGTTTTCCAACGCCTTCAAGACCCCCATCAGAGGCACCTTCTCCCTAGAGACTTCCACACATGCCTTTTAAAGGCAATAAGATATGCACTGCATTGTAAAATCTCTTCTACTGCTGTTGAACTGTAGGTTGGGTTTTATTTTTCTGGGGCAGGTATGAGGAAAGGGGGATCTTTTTATTATTATCTTAAAAGCAACTATAAGCACATCACAGAAAGAAACTAAAAATAGAGAAAAACAGGGGAAAAGGAACCATAACTCCAGTACCCTGATATAACCATAATTCCTCCCAGGTTTTTTTTTTAACATAGCAATAACTGTAATTGTGGCCTATTTAGACCTTGCTTCCTAAATTTGCTTTGTTCTGTGCCATTTTCCTCCACTGATGATACCCCCCCTTGAGGGCAGAGGCAGAGAATCTGGCTTATACCGTACTAGCTTGTCCCTTCATAGCACCTATCATGGAGCCCAGCACCCACGGGGCAACTGAAAAACTACTGCTGATTTTCTTGTCTCTGTGCTGGCACGGAAAGTAATCCATTTTATTCTTTAAATTTCTCCCTATTCTTACAATTATTTTAACAAATAATAAAATACCACAGAGGTGTATGAATTACAGAAAATAAAGATACATAAATAATCATATTTACCTATAAAGGCTCCTTTAGTCATTTTTTCATATAATTTGGCTTTTTCTTCCAATTTCTCCCTAGTAGTAAAAAAAAGCAAGTATTAGAAATGGTCTTATCACTGCAACTCCTGGTAAGTCTGCCCCATCCCCAGCCTTACTGCTGCAACCTGCCCAAGGGACCCAGCCTGACTACAGCTGAAACCCCGCCCTGAGGGGACCCTCAGGCCCAGCCAGGTCTGCTCTGCCAACTAAACGCAAGCTCCGTGAAAGCCTAGCCCATGTTTCTCTCATTCATGACTGTATCCCAGGGCCTAAAACAGTATCTGGTGCATAGCAGATGCTCAGTAAGTATTTGATGAGTGAATACATGAATGAATTAAGATTCCAATTTAATTTAAATGCCAAATGTAACTTAAATACCAAAAAAAGAGAGATGTCTAAACAAAAACATTTTCTATTTGCAACCTTCCAAATGGATCAACAAATTCCATTTGTTTTACAAATTCCTTGTCTTATACAAGGGTCCCTGGTCTCCCTTGGCTCATCAGGCCTAAGGGAGGTAGAGACCAACTTCTTGGAAGTCTGTTAAAAATATGATCGTGTCTATTTTATACAGAACATGAATAATGTACTCATGACAAATAGCTAATAAAAAACAAACATCAACCCTGGTATTTCAATACAGCAGTCTCCCTGCTCATGTTAATTCTAGAGACATTTATTCTTTCGTGGGTAAGACAGCTGACAATTCTTTTATTCTAGAAATACCTATAACGGTAAAGGGCCCCAAACAAGTCATCCGAGTTTTTGCTTGTGAAGGATCACACTTAATCGTAATAGAAAATTTCATTTCTAATGGTGTCCCAAGGGAATTCCCTAGCGGTTCAGTAGTTAGGGCTCTGTGATTCCACTACAGGGGGCATGGGTTCGATCCCTGGTTGGGAAGCTAAAATCCCACATACCATGCAGTGCAGCCAAAATAGTATTAATAATAATAATAATAATAATGGTGTCCCAAGGCAATGAAGTTCCTTGGTCACACTGCTGTGTGCTCTGGAATAAGTGACTTAACCTCTCATACACCTCAATTCCCACATCACAATAGGAAAGATAGCACTGCCTCTTAGGGTTGTAATGAGGATCAATTAGATAATACACGTAAAGCATGCCACCAGTTACAGCCTCTTCGCATCTATGTCAGAAAGATTCCTCTTTCATTTTACACATTCATTTGCAAGCACTGACTACATAAGTGCCAAGCACTGTTTTAGGTGCATAAGAGAAAGTACCAGCTGTCATGGGGGTCACACTCTAGAAAGGGAGAAAGACAATAAATAAATCAATGAAAAAGAGGATTTCAGACAGTGAGAAGAAGGGAAGGAAATAAAAGCAGGTTTTCCCAATAGAAGCCGTTTGTCATGCATTGATGGAGTGCTCTGTGGACCAGCTTAGTCATATCAACTTCTAAGAGGTTAAGTTGCTCTTTTTCAGATGGAACTTAATGTAACAAGCAGTCTTGTTACAGAATCTCATCATCTTAGTAAAAATAAAACTTCAAAAAATTTAGAAAACAAAATACACTGTCTGGACAGAGAAAATGGGCAGGACACTAAGATAGGGTAGTCAGGGGAAACCTCTCTGAAGAGGACGTTTGGCCTAAGGCTTGCATACCAAGAAGTCAACCATGGAAGGAATCTTCAGGGAGAAAGCAAGTCAGGCAGAAGAAAGATGAAGAGGGAATGAACTTGACATGTTCAAGGAGACATCAGTGTGGTAGACGGTGCTGAACAAAGGGGAAACTGGTACAAAATAAACACAACAGAGACAGGTGGGGACAAGAGTGCAAGGGAAAGGATAAGAAGTTTGGATGCAGTGTAACAGAAAGAAGACAGTTTTAAGATGGCAGGAAGAGTCTTCAGATGAATAATGGAGGGACTTCCCTGGTGGCGCAGTGGTTAAGAATCCGCCTGCCAATGTAGGGGACACGGGTTCGAGCCCTGGTCCAGGAAGATCCCACATGCTGTGGAGTAACTAAGCCTGTGCGCCACAGCTACTGAGCCTGCGCTCTAGAGCCCGCGAGCCACAACTACCAAGCCCGCGCGCCACAACTACTAAAGCCTGCGCACGTAGAGCCCGTGCTCTGCAACAAGAGAACCACCGCAATGAGAAGCTCGCGCACCACAACGAAGAGCAGCCCCCGCTCACCACAACTAGAGAAAGCCCGTGTGTAGCAACAAAGACCCAATGCAGCCAAAAAATATACATAAATTAATTAATTAATTAAAAAGTAATGGAGATCGAGGAAGATGTCAGGGAAATGGCCACTGGATTTAGTATATGAGGAAGTCATTGGTGACTGTAAAGAACATTTCTTCAGTCAAGTAGTGAAGATGCAACTCAGAGGGCAAGGGTATGGGACACTTACCTGGAACCCACTATGTGCCAGACACTATGTAACTCCTTTAATCTCTTTTTTTTTTTTTTTTTTTTTTTTGCCCTTTAATCTCTTAAAGGGCTTCGTGAGTTAACTATTAACCACCACACATCACAGACAAGGAAAGCATCTCAATGGAAAAGTAACTTGCCTGAGGCCTTACATCCTCATGGACCTACCTCGGCCTGTTGTAAGCTCTGGAGAGATGCAGAAGTCCTGCAGATCATGGGGAGACTTGATTCCCCACGAGCACAATGAACGTATTATGTAAAAAGTTACTGGATAGAAAAATCACAGCAAAGTACCAAGGAATACTCTGTTATACAGAGGAAACTAAAAAAGATCATGCCCATAGTTAATACTCAATGGTGAAAAGGTGGAAGCTTTTACTCTAAGGTCAGAAACAAGGATGCCTACCCTTAACATTGTTATTCAGTGTAGTATTGTAAGTTCTAGCCAGAACAATTAGGCAAGAAAAAAAAAAAAGGCGTCCAAATCAAAAAGGAAGAAATAAAACTATCACTATTTGCAGATGACATAACATTATATATAGAAAATCCTGGGCTTCCCTGGTGGCACAATGGTTAGGAATCCACCTGCCAATGCAGGAGACACGGGTTTGAGCCCTGGTCCGGGAAGATCCCACATGCCATGGAGCAACTAAGCCTGGGCGCCACAACTACTGAGCCTGCGTGCCTGGAGTCCATGCTCCGCAACACCACTGCAATGAGAAGCCCGCCCACCGCAACAAAGAGTAGCCCCTGCTCACTGCAACTAGAGAAGAGCCTGCACGCAGCAATGAAGACCCAATGCAGCCAAAAATAAATTAAAAAAAAAGAAAATCCCAAAGACTCCACCAAAAAACTGTTAGCACTAATAAATGAACTCAGTGAAGTTGCAGGATAAAAAATCAATACACAAAACTCTGTTGCGTTTCTATACACTAATAATGATCTATCAGAAAGAAAAAATAAGAAAACAATCCCATTTACAATTGCATCAAAAAGAACAGAAGAGACTTCCCTGGCTGTCCAGTGGTTAAGACTCCATGCTTCCACCACAGGGGGCGCAGGTTCGATCCCTGGCTGGGGAACTGAGATCCCACATGCCATGTGGCACAGCCAAAAAAAAAAAAAAAAAAAAAAATCATAAAATACTTTGGAATAAATTTAACAAAGGAGATGAAAGACCTATACACTGAAAACTACACAGCACTGATAAAGAAACCAAAGATGATGCACGTAAGTGGAAAGGTATTTACAGATTAGAAGTACAGTGTTAAAATGTCCATACTACCCAAAGCAATCTACAAAATCAAAGCAATCCCTGTTAAAACTCCAATGGCATTTTTCGCAGAAATAGAATGAACAACCCTAAAATTTGTATGGAACCACAAAAGATCCCCAAAGAGCCAAAGCAATTCTGGAAAAGAAGAACAAAGCTGGAGGCATCATGCTCCCTGATTACAAACTATATTACAAAGCCATAGTAATCAAAACAGTATGGTACTGGCATAAAAACAGCCACATAGATCAATGGAATGGAAAGAGAGCCCAGAAATAAACCCACACACATGGCCATTTAATTTATAACAAACGAGCCAAGAATATGCAATGGGAAAAGGACAGTCTCTTCAATAAATGGTGCTGGGAAAACTGGACAGCCACAGGCAAAAGAATGAAACTAGACCATTATTGTACACAAAAACTAACTCAAAATGGAATAAAAACTTGAATGTAAGACCTGAAACCATAAAAATCCTAGAAGAAAACACAGGCCACAAGTTCCCTGACATCCGCTGTGGCACTGACTTTTTTTGGATTTGACATGAAAAGCAAAGACAACAAAAGCAAAAATAAAGAAGAGGGACTATATCAAACTAAAAAGCTTCTGCAGAACAAAGGAAATCATCAACAACATGAAAAGGCAACCTATTGGATGGGAGGAATTATTTATAAATCATTTATCTGACAAAGGCTTAATAGCCAAAATAAACAGAGAACTTACATCTCAACAGCAAAACAACAATCCAATTTAAAAAATGGACCTGAATAGATACTTTTTCAAAGACATACAGATGGCCAACAGGTACATGAAAAGCTGCTCAGCATCACTAATCATGAGGGAAACGCAAATCAAAACCACAATGAGATATCACCTCATACCTGTTAGAACAGCTACTATCAAAAAGACAAGAAATAACAAGTGTTGGTTGGTGAGGATGTGTAGAAAAGGAAACTTTCATGCACTGTTGGTGGGAATGTAAACTGGCATAGCCACTATGGAAAAAGAGTATGGAGATTCCTCACAAAATAAAAATAGAACTACCATATGGGGACTTCCTTGTCAGTTCAGTGATTAAGACTCTGCACTTCCAATGCAGAGGGAAGGGGTTCCACCTCTGGTTGGGGAACTAAGATCCCACATGCCGCACAGCGTGGCCAAAAAAAAAAAAAGAACTACCATATGATCCAGCAATTCCACCTCTGGGTATTTATCTGAAGTAAATGAAAACACTAATTCAAAAGATACACGCACCCCCATGTTCATTACAGCATTATTTACAATAGCCAAGGTAAGGATACAATCTAAGTGTCCATTGATGTATGAACGGATAAAGAAAAGGTGACACACATACACAATGGAATACTATTCAGCCATAAAAAGCAATGAAATCTTGCTATTTGCAATGCTATGGATGGACCTTGAGGGCATTATGCTAAGTGACATAAGTCAGACAAAGAAGACAAATACCGTATGATTTCATTTATATGTGAAATTAAAAAAACAAAAACCCAAACAAACTAACAAAAAAACCCTAAACAACAAAACTAACAAGTTCATAGATACAGACAACAGAATGGTGGTTGCCAGAGGTGGCAGAGGGTGAGGAGGAAATGGGTGAAATGGGTGAAGGGGGTCAAAATGTACAAACTTCCAGTTACAAAATAAGTAAGCCATGGGGATGTAACATACAGTATAATGACTGTATTGCATAGTTGAAGTCTGTTAAAAGAGTGGATCTCAAAAGTTCTCATCACAAGACAAAAAAAACTGTGTGGTGATAGATGTTAACTAGATTTATTGTGGTGATCATTTCACAATATATACAAATATCAAGTTATTATGTTGTACACCTGAAACTAATATAACATCATACTTCAATTATATCTTAATAAAATACATATATAAAGCATTAAAAAGTTATAGCATCTTTCAACAAAATTAAAATTCTAAGAATAATGTCCAGTAGTGAGGAAAATGTCTCAAAAATGAACATACCTTTAAGTCAAGTCTCATGTCTGTTGAGGATAGGCCAAACATTAAGAAAAACAATCCCCCAAATGGGCTAATATTCTGCCCTTTATTCTCAGACCCAAAAGAGCTGAGGAGCCTTAGCAACCACTGTTTTCAACTTTCATTATGCAATAGATCCAAAAGCACATGTGGCAGTCATGACAGACATTAAAACTTGGGATTCTGAGTCCAGGGTGATACTGCAAATAAGGGAAGAGCTCTTCTTTACAGAAGAATGCCAGCTAATAAACAGAATGAAAGAATAATAAACATGGAATGATAGAATTAGAAAAATCCTAACTTTGAAATCATCACTGTAATAATTGACCCATCAGTGATGACAAAACCGTCGCATGAAAACATACTGGCAAACAGGATATTCACAGTCTCAGTTTCCTCCTTAGATTATTATTAATTACAAATGCGGAAGAGCATCTTTACAGTGGAAAAATCTAGCAGACCTATCTTAACTGAGTGATCAAAGTTATCATCACCAATAATGACTTAAACTGACATCATGAACCTCCCGATGTGATTCAATGGGAGGACATATCATTACCTATATATTCAATAGTATTCTTACCAACAACAGTTAGTGTGACTCTAATCAGATTGTGGGACACTGTAGAACAACTGGGCTGGACTCTTTAAAAAACAACTGGGCTGGACTCTTTAAAAAAGATTAACGGCATAACAGACAACAAAAAGGCAAGGGAAATGTTTTAGATTAAGAGAGACTAAAGAGATATGAAAATTAAATGCAATGTGTACTCTTTGATTGACTCTTGGATTAAGTGTTTTAAAAAACAATAAAGAACATAACCTTTATTTAGGATAAATGGTGAAATCTGAATATGGACCATATGATAGTACTATTTTATCAGTGTCAAATTTCTTGGGTATGACAGCAGTATTGTGATTATGCAAGATAATGTCCTTATTCTTAAAAGATATACGCCGAAATATTTAGAGGTAAAGTATCATGATGTTTAGCAAAGTTTCTCTACACACACTGGAGAGAGGGAGGGGGAAGAAGAAAGTAAATTTTAAAAAATGTTAATTGGTGAACCTAGGTGAAAAGTATTAGAATATTCATCACACTCTTCTTTCAAATATTCTGTCGGTTTGAAGTTTTTCACATTAAAAAGTTGAGGGGGAAATTCACTTTCTAAATGCTAATAGCATGCCACCTAGTAGCCCCAAACCACACCACCATGGGGACACTTCTTAAACACTTGTTGATAACCTCAGCGCCTAACAGGGGCTCAAAGTGGGACTGTTTCATCTTTCAAACTGAGGCTTTCTCTTGTCTTCTTATAAGACTATAAATATGTCTGCAAATTATATTATTTTCAGAGTAATAAGAGTATTTGGCTATAAAGATGATAAAAATTAAAATTGTAAATCAAAAAGAGTAAAAGTTGAACTTTCATTCCTTTGCCTGGGTAGCCACAACAGCAGCTACATTTATCAGAGCGAAACTTTACCTCGCTTTGTCCAAAGTCTTCTGTTCCTCAATCTTCTGTTCAGCATCCTTCTCAGCTCGATTCGAAACTCCTGTGTTTTGTCTGCTCCAGATACTTGGTTTCTGGAGAATAATTTAAAAAGACAAGACAGAATCACCAAATGATCGCAAAAACTCTCTACTTGTCTTGTACATCAGAAGGAAAAAAAAGATAATTACATCTTATGAATCAGTGGAAATAACTAGACTTCTGACAGCCAACCTATGTCCTGTAAATACACTGTACATAGCAAAGCTGGAGCTGAAAAAAAAAGCCCTAATTACATTAAAAAAAATTTCTTTATACAATTGCAGTTACTTCTCTTTTATCTCCTGAATGATTACAACCTAATTCAAGACTAATGAAAACATATATAACAGAGATTTAGTAACACAAGTAACAGATACCATTAGCTATAAAATTGTAAAAACATTCACAACTCTCAAAGACCCAGCCATATTTCTGCTATATTTCTATATTATCTAATTGTTTATCTCTGTTTGGATTTATAACACCTGTAAAACTAGATAATCTTCCATGGGAATGTAAATAAACACATTCTAACAGCATGTACTATTCCAAAAGAAGTGCTAAAGAATTAGATCATTACAACGTGCTTTTTTTTTTTTTTTTTTTTGCGGTACGGGGGGGCCTCTCACTGTTGTGGCCTCTCCCGTTGCGGAGCACAGGCTCTAGACGCGCAGGCTCAGCGGCCATGGTGCACGGGCCCAGCCGCTCCGCGGCATATGGGATCTTCCCGGACCGGGGCACGAACCCGTGTCCCCTGCATCGGCAGGCGGACTCTCAATCACTGCGCCACCAGGGAAGCCCATAATGCGCTTTTAAATCTTACTAATTTCTATCTTAATATTTAAAACATTTCATGCAGATGTTCAAATACAAGACAGGGATTTTTATGTAGCAGACACCATGAACACTTTCAAAAGACCTAAGTACAGTGTAATTTCCCTATGTTTGGAATTGATGGAGATAATGAGATCTTATTTTTACCTTAGTAGTTGGTTTTGGTTTCCCCAAAACTCCAGCATCTTTTAGAAGTTTTTCTTGTTTGAATTCTTCTTGTTTTCGGAAGAGTTCAGCCTTAAGGTCAACCAACTAAAATAAAACCAATAAGCAAACAAAAACAATTAATTCTAATGAGTGACTGGATTTCTACGTTTTTATAATTCTCAAAACAAGATTACAAGCTCCCATAAATGGACAAAACTGGATATAAAACTAAAAGTTTAAATGTAGGATCTAGTACAAAATAAAACCAAGTCATATTTCATTCCAGCTCTGTTGTAAATGTATTTAACTTTCAACACTTCAAGGCTTTCCTCTGGGCAAGGGGAGAGTGATAAAGCAAGGTAAATGAAATCTGCATCTTTTAGATTCAGATTCAACTAACATTATTAAGCACCTTCTGTCTGACTGGCACTGTCCTTGGCTTTTTCTTGTAGTAATTTCACTTAAACATCACAACAATTTATTATTTCTATAGGAAAACGTCTTTGTTCAGCAACAATCTGAGCACCAGTATATGTCTGGCACTTAACATTGAAGAGCAGGATACCAACATGAATTAGACATAATGCTGCCTCAAAGAGCCTACAATCTCCTAAGAAATGTAACTTACAATACCAGTCAGTTGTAATAAATGCCGTGAAGAGTGGAATTAAGTAGCAAAAAATTCAGATAAAGGAGTATTTCCTTCTGGCCAGAGTGATCAGAGATGGCTTTGAAATGAAGCTTAAAGGATAGGCAAGATTTCAACAGCTAGAAAGAAAATGGACTGAGTGAATTTTGTTTCAGCATGTTTTGGAAACTGCAAGTTTAGCTGAACAACAGGGTTCAAGAAGAGGAAAGGCCAGAGCAAAGGGTACAGGGGAGTTGGATCAGTCACCACTATCTACTCCAAAAACGGATGTAATGACAGTTTCCTTTTTAAGGATACAAGTACAGCTGCTTATACACATGGTCATTTATAAAGCAGATACTTATAAAGCCCAGCATCACAAACTGACTTTTAAGGTAAATCAAAATGACTGAGCTCAATGGTTTCTACTTTGGAAGGAAGCAATTTAAAAATAGGCTTGGCAGGGTTTTTAATAATGCCAAGGGCAGGTTCATTCTAGGGCCTAATACTCTAAATTTTAAAAAAAAATTTAAAACTTAAGCCTTGGGACTTCCCTGGTGGTCCAGTGGTAAAGAATCCACCTTCTGATGCAGGGGACGTGGGTTCGATCCCTAGCTGGGGAACTAAGATACCCACATGCCACGGGGCAACTAAGCCCACGTGCTGCAGACTACAGAGCCCACGCTCCACAACTAGAGAGAGAAAACCCGCACACCACAATTAGAGAGAAGCCCGCGCGCCACAACGAAAGATCCCGCATGCTGAAACTAGGACCTGACGCAGCCAAAAATTAAAAATAAATAAAGTTACATGTATCACTAAAAAAAAGACTTGTGCATTTAAGGAAAAAAACTTAAGCCTGTTCTTCTAAGCCTTCTTCTTCTTTTTTTTTTTTTTGATGTGGACCATTTTTAATGTCTTTATTGAATTTGTTACAATATTACTTCTATTTTGTCTTTTGGTTTTTTGGCCCAGAGGCATGTGGGATCTTAGCTCCCCAACCAGGGATCGAACCCACGTCCCCTGCATTGGAAGGCGAAGTCTTAACCACTGGACTGCCAGGAAAGTCCCTCTAAGCCTTCTTAACTACATTAATTTTCTAGCCAGACATTTTCCTATTAAACTTTTGAACTTTAAAATGAAGATGCTAAGAAAAGTGTCAATTCCCAGATGGCATTCACACTATGAGTATTGCTAATTTTAACCCGTCAGGAAAGGATAACTTTAATTTTACAGCGTTTTGATTCCTAATCCTCAAACATAATAACTAGTACCAATTTTCAGTATTAGACGGGGGAAAGGAGCTCAAACATTGGGCTACTTCCATCTTTTCCTTCATATCGCTTGCTTCCTAACATTCTGCAGTAAATCCAAGATTAAACCAAAGGTTAGGCAATTTGCTCTGATATAACGGAAAAGACAACAGCTTTGGAGTCAAACAGATGGAGTGAGCCCAGTTCTACCACTAAGAACTCAGTATGTAAGCTGGAGAAAGCCACTTCATTTTCGGAGCCTCAATGGCATCACCTATAAAATGGGGATATTACTAGCACCTGCCTCCTAAAGCAGTCAAGAAGATTCAATGAGGTAGTGCATACAAAGTGCTGGCACAAAAGTACTCAGAACAGGTTTTCTTCCTAGAAGCAACTAACTTAACAATGCTGTTTACATTCTGTTAGACCTCACAGCTCCGGGGCAGCGCAGCCTACGGGTGCATTAACAACTGTTTAGTTCCTGGTGGGGACTCTGGGCATCTCGGACCCTGGGGAACAAATCACACTAATGTTCTGGGGGGACCATGCCCGTCCCTGAACTAAAGGGAGACATATCTGCACAGCTAGCAGAGGCTGCGTTCCCCCTCCGACGGTAACGAAGACAAGGCTGGCAAAGACGCCTGGCCTGTTGTCGCGGAGGGGAGGCAGGGACATTCCAAACCCGGAAAAGACACCAGGTTCTGGTCCGCGTCTGAGGGACAAGCCTGGTGCCGGTGCACGGCGGAGGGGAGACGTCACGTTCAGGGTTCTATAAGAAAGAAGTGGGCCCTGGCTTTTTCTGGGAGAAAAGTCAGGTACCGGGGGTCCTGTCTGAGGGGAAGCCAAGTTTGGGTCCCCGAGTGAAGAAACAAACGAGGTCGAGATTCCTGTCCGGCAGAAGCGAGGAGGCGCGGAGCCCGCAGCATCACCTACACCCGTACTCACCGAGGACGCCGTGACATCCAAAGGCTTTTTCTTCCGGTCCATGGTCCCACTAACGCGCCCCGGCCCAAAATGAACGCCTCACCAGGTCCCCGCAGGCCTCTTATAAGGCTTCCGGCGTAACCGGAAGTGTCCTCATGAGAGCGAACCTGTCTACGACGCTGGCACCATCTTGAGAAGGTCAGGATGTGGCGCGCACTGCGTCCTTCACCATTTTGAGAAGATCAGCGTGCCCAGGAGTGAAGCTAACTGCTAAGGCCATCTTGAAGAGGGCGGAAGGTAACAGGGCTAGTGTTGTCGCCATCTTGAGAAGGGCCGCATACGTCTTGCAGAGCAATGCACGCCAGCTTGAGTGGGTCAGTTGCGCGGGGCGGGTGTGTGTGGCGATGGCGCCATCTTGGAAGGGCAAGGGAACTGAAATGAATGTCTTCCAGTGAAAAGAAAGATGGGTTAATAGGACGGCAAAGACCTACCTAAATACCGTTTTAAGACCTGCTGTATGCTGGGCACTGCTTGGTGCTTCTCAAAGGTTAAATTATTTAAATTCTCACAAGAGTCATATGAGATAAGGATTATTATATTAATTTTAGTAAAAATAGCAACAATAATAATAACTAACATTGATATAATGCTATATATGTATAGTGTGTCACTTTACATATTTCAGCTGGTAAGAACATGAACTCCAGAAGCCAAGTTCCTCAGCGGGAATCACTGCTTCACCACTTATTGAGTGTGTGACCTTGCAAAAGTTACTTACTTGGTGCTTCAGTTTCCAAATGGGAATAAAATAGTATTTACTTCATGGGGTTCAGTTAGTGTTAGATGAAGTAAATGAGCTCGGTAGACAGACCAATGACACATGCGCCCCCCACACACACACACACAAGATGTCCATCTTCTAGTCCCTAGAACCTGTGACTGTGTTACCTTATATGGCAAAAGGGAGTTTGCAGATGTGATTAACGATTTTGAGATGAGGAGATTATCCAAGTACTGTAGGTTCAATGTAATCACAAGGGTGTTTATAAGAGGGAGGCAGAAAAGTCAGAATCAATGAGAGATAAGAAGTAGCTACACTGTGGGCTTTGAAGACGGAGGATGGGACCACTGCCGAGGAATGCAGGCAGCTTCTAGAAGCTGAAGAGACAAGGAAATGAATCCTTCTCTAGAGCCTCCAGTGTAGCACTGCTGACACCGAGATTTTAGCCTTGTAAGGCTCATTTCAGACTTCCCACCTCCAGAACGTTAAGAGAATAAATTTGTGTTGTTTTAAACCACTAAGTTTGTAGCGATGTGTTACAGCAGCAGTAGGAAACTGATACAAATGATAATGATTGCAGCAATAGCATATGTGTGTACCTCTTTTCATGGATTATCTCATTTAATCCTTGCAAGGATCCCAGAGGTGGGAGTTATTTACACCATGTTACCGAGGAGAAAAGTGAGGCCCAAGAGGTTAAGTGACACGCAAAGGACATTTGCCAGCTAGCAAGTGATGGACCCTAGGGTCAGAAAATAACTCAAAGGCATTGAGTTAATTATTTGCAAGCTATTTACTTGTAAAGAGGGGAACCCATATAGATTGCCTTCATCTAATAAAGGCTAGAAGAGGATTTATATAAAAGAAAGAGGGGAGAAGGAAAAGCCATAGACAGATTGGAAACCATGAACTTCAGTTTCCTTGCCTAGCTGGCCACTGGTAATGAGGCCAGTCCGTGTACTGATCTTGCGCTGCTAGAAAGCAAAAACTTTTAGTTGTTTATGGATGCCGCAGAAGACCTTGAGAGTTTAGCTTTCTCTGTATAATGCCTGTCAGTGTCCTGGCTGTCATCTCCACGTTCATTAGGCAGGTTTGTACCTATACCATCCTCCGAAGTTCTTGCTCCCCTGGCATCAGCTGATTTCAGTTACCTTCCAAGTCATTTAAATTACTGGGAGCAAACCAGTGAGTCTCCCCTGTTCCCCCAGCCCTCACACACATCCAGGTCTGGAGAAGCACAGAAAGCTTAATGCTGGATTGGCCAGCATGCCCTCCTGGCACATCAACCGTTTTTCACATATTCCGTTCCTCAAATTCTCCTCTTCCTTTTATGCTTTCCAAATGTCTGGGTCTGTCTGGAATTGCCTTCCTCTACCAGGTACGAAAATTGAGGCCACAGCCCTCTGTTCTTTACCATACCATGCTCTCTTCCTGGGGTGTCATCCTCTAAACCAGATCTCAGTCCACTGGGTCTCCCACACAGACCTGGGTTTGTTCTGGAAGAAAGGGGTGGTCAGGACCCTCGTCTGCTGAAAAGCACAGGATTTCCTCCAAGATCAGGCTCAGCCGAGCTGCACCCCTCTGATTACCTTGAGAACCTCACATCAGCCCCCTCTGAGCCTCACTTCTCGCACCCAGTTGGGTGCACGGATGTTTGAGATAAAGAGAAGTGTGGAAATGGTCTTCTGGCTGAAAAGTGCTATGCATGCATCTCTCGAGGAATAGAGAAGTTCACTCAGCGCCAGTTTTCTCGCCGCAGAAGGCACGTGCCTGGCGACAGTCTGTGTTATGATGCTGCATGTTTTGCAGCGCTATGAGCTCAGCTTGTCCCCCTACCCCTGTTGGGTCCCACGGGGGTAAGGCTGGGTGGCAGAGCTAGTATCTTCTTCCTTTTCCTCTCCTATTGGCCTTTAATTGTCAAATCTCCTAGGTACTTTAAATAAAGGTGGAGAGAGGCAGCCTTTGGAAACACACAGCATTTATTTCCCTGTGAGCACGGCCACCCAGGCATGCTCTTATTTTAAAGGGGGACCCCGCAGTCATTTTCTGGCATGAAGATTCATAGCGACAGGGTTGCAAGTTGTAGCCTGTGCTGCTATTGTAATGTTTTAATTGGCAATTAAGTCAAGAGGTTTAATTCAGCCCAGGCTCCTTTTGGCAAGTGAGTGATTTCTCTCCACCCCGTATCCTGTTTCCTCAAACTGAAAATGTGTCTCTCCCAGATGTGTCCAGCCTGCAGTGTCTTAACATTTGTTCAGTCTCCAACACACTGTCTCTGATAATAAATTACGCAGCAGTGGATGAATTAGCCAAGTCCATTGTGTGAAAAAAGATTAGGTCGGATCTAAGGAAATTTAGGTTCTAAGTATGAGCCTAGGATGAGGTATAAAGATACCGAGCCTCGTGCCCTGGATGACAGAGAAGCTAACATTTATTAGTCTCAGACACAAAATCAGTTATTGGCATTATCTCATTGAATCCCCACAACAGCCTCAAGGGTGGGTGCTATTATTATTTTATTTGGCAGATGAGTAAAATGAGACACAGAGAAGTTAAGTAACTAGTCCAGGGTCACACAGCCAGTCTTGGCCCCAGGATTTGAACCCAGGCAGCCTAGTGCCAGGACCTCACACTGTCCTCCCTCTGTGGATCTGAGACTATATTTGCTTTGCATTAATTAATTAATTCATTTATTCATTCATCCATTCAACTTTACTGGGGAAGGGGCAAATTTTTATAGGAGCTGGCCCCAGAATATTTCTGCAGGAGGGACCTGTCATTAGGTCATTGCAGTCAGAAGGGACCCACTAGGTGAACGCCAGGAGGCCTGATGGGGCAAGCTGGGACCGGACAAGGACCACTTGGTGCCCTGGAAAGCCCAGCTGAGCTTGCAAATGTGGAGTAACTGGATGCTGAGTGGGGCTTTTTCTGCAGCCTGGGAAACTGGTGCTTGAAGCCATCACTGAAAAAAAGAGGTGCTAAGAACTCTACAGCCTTGAGAAAACTGCCAACAAGTAGGGCCCAAGTGCTGTCTCCCAACTTCAGCCGAGCAGATTATTATGAGCAGGGGAAGATGCTTCACTATGTTCAACCCCACCCAGGCCCACTGCATAAACAGAGGCAGCTGGGAGGGTCAGAGGGAGCCTGAAGCCCAGTGAGGCCCTGCAAGGGTGGGGCACAGAGGGCAAGTCAGGGACCTGGCAAGGCCGGGGTGGAGGTATCCCTCAGAGTGTAACCAAGCAGGACACCATAGGGCCTTCCCAGGACAGACACCCCCCACCCCCAATGTACTCTGCCTGCCTCTTGCCTGTAGAAAAACTTTAGCCTCCTAGGTCTTCCCTGAGTTCCAAAGAATAAATTTAATCAGAGAAGTGAGAAAATGCAGAAACAAAGGAAAACAGTCAAACACGACAAAATAATAATACTTTGGCCATTAAACAAAGCCAAGGACCTTTTGTTCCTCCTCAAGGGCTATAGGTAACATGCTGAGCCATATCCTTTGAGCTGTTTTACAGATAGAGACCCACACCAGCTGGAAGAAGTTAAATGTATGCTGCCCACAAGCACGTAGACCACAGGATGGTTGGAACCAGAAGGTTGATGAGGTTGACTGCCAATTATCTCACCACCTACCAATCAGAAGAATGTCTATGAGATGATCATACACCTGCAACACTCTCCTCAGCACCTAGCCCCTTCCTCTTTTCCGTACATTATCTCTGAGCTAAACCTGGGGTGTTGGGGGTTGGTTCTTTGGGATATGAATCCACCTTCTCCCCAGGATTGCTGGGTTCCTCAATAAAGCTGTCTTTCCTTTTACCCAGCACTGTCTCTCAGTATTGGATTCTTGAGCCACGAGCAGCTGAACCTGAGTTCGGAGACAAGAGGGTCTTGAAGGCCATGAAGTGGGGAAAAGCAGAGAAACAAAGGCTGCTTTTGCCCTTGCCCCCTGCTCCCCCCTTCTGGTCCTAAGTTATGTTCCTAGGGCCAAACTAGGGTACTTAAAACAACGGAAACGTATGGCTTCACAGTTCTGGCGGCTAGAAGTCCAAGGTCGAGGTGTCGTCACTGATACTAACGTTGATCACCTGGCTTGATGCAGGATTTGCCAGGTTTCTCCACTAGACAGTTGTCTCAATCCATGCTCTTTGGAAGTACGTCACCTGGATCAGCCCACCCTCAAGTGGCACTTTGCGTATTTTAACTCATTTAACTTTCACAGTAACCTTACCGGGCAGGGCCTATCATCATCTCCATCTTACAGTGGAGGGGTCCGAGGGAGGTCAGGTGGTGACAGAGGCCATGGGAGCTCTCCTGCCTCTCCAAG